GCCAAATCGTCATGGATAAAATCATTCGTGTAGCCTAGCTACAGTGTTCCTATGTTGCACCGCCCACCGCGCCATTTGGGCCATGGAAACGAAATACACATGGGCAGACAGGTCCTGAACGTAAGATCGAAGGCTTCCGATTCAGCATTACTTCCCTGTTATTTGCTTACTTTTATTTGCCAACCTCGCGTTCCGGATAGCTGACCTCGCCGCCCTTTTCCCACCCTGTTGTTCTATTTACGTGATCTATATAGTTACGTGCCTAACACGCTGCACATGATCACTACACGTGCTAGTTACGCGTATGTGCCGCTGCCGGTCGATCCAAACGCTACTAGACCTGTGCCGCTCCCACGCGAGGTGGCGGCGCGGCGGCGGCAGTGGCGGCGCGTGCGTGACGGAAAGCGGCGCACGTCGACTGCCCTCGTCCGGTGTGTGAGGGATTCGTGCGTGCTTCTTTCTGTCGGTCAATTAAACTGGGCTGAGAAACCCCAGCTGCAAAGACGAGAACTCGATAATACTTACAGTAAATTACTAGAGCAGAGTTGTAGATGAGCCCTGGCTGGGTTTGTTTCCGTTAAAAGACCGTTCCACAAAATGTTTTCATGACTGGTCTCCTTACCAGACAGGTGCAGAAAAATTGAGAGTCTGAGGCTGGGACGGAAGATTGACTTTTGTGAGGTTTGTTGGGTTGAAACGGTATCCAAGAGATATCAAAATATGGGAGCCGTGGGCTGGCGCCTTGATTCGGGCGTCTGACGCCCAGCCTGTCTGTGTCTTTGTCAGCTCACTCAGCCACAGCTGTATCTGAGCTTTGCCTGGCACCTCCTTTACGCTGAGTGTCTGAGTGACGTCTGGACTGAGCTTTGTCTCACGCCCGGCGTATGGTTTACTACCCGGAGCTGTGAGTCTGTAGCCCGCTGGGCAGCCGCAGCTGACAGCAGCTCTGTCTGCGGCACCAGCTCTGTCTCTGTCTCAGCAGCTCTGTCTGCAGCATCAGCTCTCTGACAGCTGCCTAGGAGCCCTACCGGCCGCCGGATTCGTCCGGATCCGGAGCCGGAGCCGTCCGACGCCAGAGCTGCCTGCCGATGGCCGGCTCTCTGTATCGATCGCGCTACCCGGCGGCGGCGTCACCTGGACAGGGGGCCAGTGTCCACACGGACCCACCAGTGTCCACGGACCCACCAGTGTCCACGGAGAAGTGTCCATTGTCCACGGACCAATGTCCACAGACCAATGTTCACTGTGTACGGAATTACCAGTGCCCAGTGTCCACGGAGACCACAATGTCCAAAGACGAGTGTCCACCGTCCACGGACCATTATCCATTGTCCATTGTCCACGGGCCAGCGTCCAGTATCCACGGACTCGTCTTCACGAACCCACCTGCACTGTATCCACGGACCCCTGAACCCCAGGTCACCTCGCGGGGAGGGTGATTTCAATGGTCGCCGCTGCGTTTCTGATAGGTGATAGGGCGATTAAGTTGGCGCGATGGAATCGTAGTGTTCATTAATTAAATGGGTGATATTTTTGGAGTAAACGGTGATGAATTGGGTGGTATTAGCGGCACTAAAGTTGTTGGGTTTAGGTGTTTCGGAGATAATCCAGTTGTTGTGCTAATTACAGAGGCTAAAACTATGGCCTGGTTGATTCAAACCATCGATTTGTTCTGGAATTTCATTTCTCAGTGGCATTAGCCACACCATCAAAGGCCGCTAGACAGCGTGACACTCAACTATTATGTGTTTTATTTCCTTTTCTACAAGATGTGAAACTATTTCCTATCTCCGCCATCCGATTCTTTCTCTTTGCCTTTCCTGCCTTTGCATTCCTTTCCTTCTCTTATCCGCCGCAGCTCTGGGCTGTTACTGCAGCACTGAACGCCCGCTGCGAGCCGTTTTCGAGCCGTTTCTCCCAGTCATCCTGTTGTTTCGTGAGCTCCCTGCTGTGTGGCGTGAAGGAGATTGACTTCAGTGACTGGGCGGTTCTACTGGTGCCAGCCGAGGGGAGGCAGACGTGGGCTACACGAAGGTGTTGGTATGGCTGAATCAGGGCAAGGTTACTGGCGCTGGGTTGAGTGGGTTCCATGAAGTGATAGGTTGAGGGAATCTCATGGAGAGCGCTATTACAGACATCCGAGGGAAGCGGATGTAAATCTGAGAGGAATCTACTCAGTTTTTGAGATATTCTCAGCTCGGAAGCGTTATATTTTTAGATTTCCCCATGCTTTGTCTAGTCTAGCCGCCATATGACAGGCTTCAGTCGCTGACCTGGCCCCCTGTGTGTGGGAGTGGCTGGCCAGGCCACGGTCACAGTGGGGAAAGTGAGGGGGAGGGCAGGGGGGGGGGGTTAATCGGTCACCGCCCCGACAGCCGTGGGATGGACCGGTTCTGGTGGCCGGTAGAGGTGGGGGGTGGGGGTGGTTGGTACGAGATTGGGGGATTAGATTTGGTGAGACGTGCAACACTATCGGAAATATCGATAGAATAATTCGATGTCGGTACCTAATAGACATGGAGCAATTACGAATAAGTAGTTGAACATGAGTAAGGTACAGACATCATAATAAAGCAATCAAAGGGGCTAGAATTTATTTAATCCGTCACTTGTAGCCTATTCATCTTGACCAGTTAGGCGTCGGAGTTCTGTATTCTACAAGCTTCCCTGCCCCGTGTGTTGTTTGAAGGTTATCAAATATTGCGCCGAGTGACTTATCAGCCCGTGATCTCGCAAGTCACCTATCTCCACACCGCTATCTTGAGCAGGCGCAGACCGGAGACACCGTTTTTGCCACTCGTACGGCAGCGTCTAGCTGTTGCAGTTCACCTTGACCTTCATCATCACATCGCCCTTGGTGGAGTTGTTTACCAAGCTGCAGGCGCTACGCGCTAGTTTCTGCATTATTATCAGTGAACGGAATGGTGACTTTTTACTAACGGTCCCTATGCACCTTTGCTGTTGTTGTGTAATATGTGCATTGAAATATACTGAAAACTTACGGATTGACGAGTTTCTGTTTCTTGTTGTCGGCTACCAATTCTAACAACTTGATTTGCGATGTGGATATTCGTCGCCTTTTTTTTATGAAAGCTCCATACCTTAACTACCATCTCCTATTTTTTTTTAAAGATTACCTTCTTTATTTAGCTCGGAGCTGTGTAACCCAGCGTTTGTCTCGCTGTCGGGTCGGACACAGCCCTTCTGGCTCTGATTGTTGGGTGTGGGACTGTGGGCGTTCTTACCCAGGGTGGGGGATTGGGGTCGGACTGATAAGAGAGAGGCCAGGGGGAGGGAGGGCCCACACTGACCTCCATTGACCCACGCTGAGGTGGGGTGTGGCCTTGGGCCTGCTGGGTGGTGATTCAGAGGTGGTTCCTGAATGCGGGTTTGATGTTGGGCAGGTGCGGTTGTAAGCGATATCAATTAGGTCTACTTTTGAAACAATAGTTACATCTGTAATGCACATTAGCAGCCAAATGAATACTGGATACTGAATACTGGAGGAGGAGTTGACACAGTTGAATGGTACCTTTTACACACAGCGCATTTGTCGTGTGTACAGTACACAATTAAGTCAAGTAAATTTTGAACCTGGCGCACATTTATCGTTCATACTTGTCCATTTTGTACGAAAAACGTCATGGATCCCATATTATTCTGTCGCCCTTTGTTGAAGACCTATCATGCGTTCCGTCTCAGTCCCCGCCTTAACTGCTTTCCTTCATATTCGCCATTGCAAATGCGACTAGCCGTTCGCCTTACAGAGATAACCACCAGTGACGTCACTAACCACTAATGACGTCACCGGCGAATATGACCGGCCGCATACCTGCATGACTGGCGGCTGTCCTGAGCTTTGATTGGTGGAAATGGCACTGATACGCCGCGTCAATAACTTCTATGTGCCCATGGTCCCATGACCGCGGCGTTTTAGCGAGATATCGCCAGCAGGCAGGGCTGTTGGGTGATAACGCGTATCTTGTGTCAACTTGATAGTGAAGGTTAGAAACCAGCGGAATTGACTGAAATGGTGGACAAGGGAAGGGATATTATGTGAACAGGTGGCTGCATGCGGGACTGTAAAATTTATTGATTTTAAAGTGCATCTCTTGCTATGTCCATCGCTGAAGCACTCGCAATTTATCTATGCTTTTTGGGTAGTTTTAGACAGAACTCCTTTTACGATAAATCCCTGACCCGCCTTGAACTTTTGACTCTCCGTCTCTCTCGCCGCCTTTTGCTCCCTGACCGGCCTCGGTCCAGCTCTGCAGCCAGCGTCTGATGATTCTGGCATTGGTCGGAGCTCAGAGTGAGGCCAGTTTTCCTGCTGGGGCGCGGGTGGACTGGACTGGGTTGGACCCGGATATAAGGGGGGGGGGGGGAGGTTACGGTTGTAAGGTCGATGTTATGTAAACCGGTCAGATCGCGTGTGGAGTGTATTTCATGTAAATAACGTCAGGTGGCGGGTTCGCGGGATGTGATTCACATTGTCATTCCTTTTGGATTGACATGTATAATGCATGTGGGTATTGGTTGTACCGTACCGTAGTGAGCCATCTGAAACTGTGCTATTGGTATAAGCTAATAGCTGCTTTGGATATGAAAATGACTTTTTCAAGTCTAGGACGGTTTATTAGAAACGGGGCGCTTTTATGTAACTCGACGTTCCAGCATTGAAGAGCGGATGGCCGCCTATTGCGCTGCCATAATGCCTACATGCTCATGTCTCTGCCAACATTGAAGTTAAACATGTTCATCCCTTGACGAACTCACGTTGGCCTGTGCGCTCATGCGAACAACGTTCATAACTCTAAGTTGAAGTGTCAATAATTCGAGTCAATAATTCTCAATAATTCGAGTGCCCTCTGCATTGCCCTCTGTAATTAATCTGAGCCACTCTCTAGCTTTCTTTAGCAGACTTTGACATATATTTCTGTATAAACATATTGCGTGATCCCGCCAACACCGCCCTGACGTTGTGTCTCTGCCTGTTGCAGCGTTCGTCATCTACAACTTCCTGTCGCTCTGCTACGAGTACCTGGGCGGCGAGGGCAACATCATGTCCGAGATCCGCGGCAAGCCCATCAAGTGAGTGAAAGCCTTCAGTGGCCTAGGCAGAGCTTCAGTAGGTTCCGTTTTTTTTTTTAACTTGCGAGCTTCTTATGCTTCAACACTGGTGAATTTTGTGGGATGTTGATCTTCGGCTTACGAGCCTCCACAAATTCTTGTTTATGGTCCCGGCGAAGAATTTTGTAGGGTTTGTAGGTAATTTTGAAGGTTCAATGGTATAACCAAGTGGGGGAACCAGTATATTGGCTTTAGAAGAACCCAGTCATTCAGTTTATATTTGCTACCACGCTACAATATTTCATCATTCGGCCAGTATTTCAAATGGTTCGGCCAGTGCTACCGAATCCCATTCACAATCACGCTCCTTTGTAAGAGCGAGCCTTAGCGACACCGGCTGTGGTGCGTTCGTGACGCCATTGAGGCACAGAGTGGCGCAACAGCTGTTCGGCGCGGTCCCGACATTCTGTACCGACAGAGGTATTCCGGCGACTCCGGGCGCCGCGCTGGGGGCTCGACCTTTCTCTCTCCTCTGTGGGCCCAACAGCCAGCTGATTGTGGGACCTGAGCTGTGGGGCGGAGGTCTGACCTTTGAAGGGAAGCTGTGGCCGTGATAGATGAGGGTAGGACGGCAGGGGTGAAGGGGATGGAATATCGATGGAGGGATAAGGATGAGAATGACGCGAATTTTATCTTTCTAGGACGCAAGTCCGTGAAAATACATTAAAAGCAGGATAGCGGATGGTGATGAATCTTAGGATGTTCTCCTAAGATCTCCTAAGATCCGGGACTCCAGGATGTTTTTGGATTTTGCAGCTAATTCTTCTGAAGACATTTCTCTAATGTTATAAGATTTTTCGTCAATTTTTAGACCGTTCCGCAGCTTTACACAAAGCTTGAAAGCTATTACTGCAAACTATAACGACCGCTTTGCACTGCAGCTGCAGGGGTAAGGGTCGCAGCGGCTGCGATTTTGGCTGGCGAGGCCTTGGGCGGTAGTAGCAACGGCAGCGCGAGCGACTGGCCCGGACGGGCTGAGGGCGGGGGCGGCGGCGGCGGTCGCATGTGTAGCCGTGCAGCGAACCGTTACCCCGGGCCCGGCTTTTGACCTTTGCGGTATAGCCGCGGGGCAGAGGATGGGACCAAACGGCGGTAGACTGGCGGCGGCACGGAGAGTGGTGGGCTTTGTAGGAGAAACGGTAGAGTGAACAGATTAACGGTAGAGTGAAGAGATTAAAGGTAGTTTGTATAAGAGACGGTAGAGTGGGCTTAGGAGCGGTTAGAATGGCTAGAGTGAGCTCAAGAGCGTTTAGATTAGCTTAATTTTCAGAGTGAAGATGACGAGCGAGTAAAATGACGTTTTAGTGATAAGAGAGGGCGTTTGAGGAGTAATAAAAGGTAGAAAAGGGGATAAAATGATCAGAAAAGACGCTCATTGACGGGAAGATTTGTCAAAGTGGGACTAGACGCTGGTTAACTGAGCTGTAGAGACTGTGTAGGGGACAGGTAAAGACACAGAAACAATTAACAGCACTGCAGTGATGACGCCAGCACTGAATTGCTGTCAGCGGAAGGGCCGCGTGCTAGACGAGGTCAGAGTGGCGGACCGTTTTCACTGTGACGTAACAGACCGTGACGCGGGCCATGACCTCCAGTGACCGGCGTTGCGTCACCCCTGGCCCTCTGCCAACCTGTGACTGATGGGGGGGGGGGGGGGGGTCGGGGAGGCGCGCCCCGGCGGGAAGGGAAGTGATGATTTGTTGGTCTGGAGGTGTTGACGTAACTAAGCGTGTCGTTGATCAACCTGCCTACCATCAACAAATCAGAGGTTTAATGTCAGCGAGCCTGCCCAGGCAGGATATTGTCATGAGTACTTGAGGGCGCGTGAAATACCACTTCCTGTGTTGAAATGGAAAGTGTTTTATGATTGTTTAACCCCCTGCTCAGCGATAAAGATCATCTTGAGGCACGAGTTTTATCAGTCAGTTACGTAACCTGATACGATTGCAGTAACAGTATCGCCCCGTGCGTCTACATTCTACAAGCACTCGCGCATCTAGAGTGGTTTTCACCTTGCTGTTGCCTTGGATGCATGCCAATGTCTACTACGTTTGCTAGGTCGCGGTGCCCTGGATTGCACCATTCTTAAGCACCTGCCCGTATTCAAATGGGCTTGTGTGCTGCATGTTGAATGCCGTCTGAGTCAAAGGAAGTAAACGTCTGGTGACGGCCGCTGAGGCTAGGTGCTCTTCTCATTATCACCCTATTACTTGGTGACGTACTTTATGCCTCTGATGACGTCATTTAGAGGATGATGACGTCATGGGTCTATGCTCCCGTATACTATGGACTGAATGAAGATGAGAAGTTGACTACCTGATGTATATGTAATGTGTTTGCCGTGCGCGCAGCATAGTGCATTTAGAACTGGGGACAGGTTTCTAAATTTAAACGAGACTTTGCTATTTGATTTTCCGTTCGGTGAAGAGTTGAAGACATTCCAGCAACTACTTTCAAAGAACCTTTGAGTTTGAAGTCTTCCTTTGGCACTCCTGAATAGCCCGGTCGTGTAAATAGTATCGGTGTGCTGCTTTGAGCAACTTGTGTCTAAAAGTTGGCCGGGTCTCGTGCCAACGCGGGATCCGGGATCGGCGCATCCCGTAGAGAGTAGGTCAATACGGCTCGCTCGGCAGTTGATCTGGGACGACAGCTGCCTTTGGACAGGGCGGGGGTTGAATTGCTGTAGCGGAGGCATCAAACGTCTGCATGGTGTGATGTGTCGTGCTTTACTGTGAAGTTGACGTTTAGAGTTACTCTACGTCTAATTGCCTTGTTGAAGGGTAGAGCGTCGTTCGCTGTGTCCGTTATGAGTCCACTTTTTTATTTATTGCATGACATTAAGCAAATACAATTTGGTATTTGCCATTACGGGGCAGTAGCAGGTAATGGTAACAGACGCCATTCTGTGTTTTATTTTTTGTGCCGCACGTGTACATGCCATACCTACGGCATCATGTTGCCTTGCTGTACGACAAATCGTGTCATTGTTCGTTTTCGTTACCAGTAAGTTTACGTTATTACTGTGCCTTATCACATCTTACCACCACCACGCCTTACCGCCCTTTAGGCGCGGTTCATGCCGTGCAGTGCTAAGTCAGCCAGCTCGATGTTTGTTTTGATACGTCACCAAATTGCGCTGTTGCATTGGCATGCCGCTCTACTGAGCCTCTGAGGTTGGTTTGTCCGTGGGTTTGTCGAGCGGTTCGCCTGCTAGCTGTGGTGGGGCCCAGGGCTGTGACGAAGACGGCCCTTCATCGCATTTAGTTGAGGGCATTCATCGTCCCATGTAATTGAGAGAATTGACGATCTCTTGACAGGTCTCGTACGTCTTACAATTTGTCTTCAATGCGCTTTATCGCGTTGGCGTGGCTAGGAGATGTCAATTGGGCCCATTCAAGCGCCAGCTGCAGAGTGCAGCCGAACGAATGTTCTTTCAGTGCAGTGGCATCTTGGTCATCCATCCCCCGATGGATATGTAGCTATAAATACCTAGCCGCATCTCAGGCTACCTCGGATCAGGATTAATAACGTAGTTATTATTTGGTTCTGGGAACTCTGTGCTATAGTTGGCTGCCGTTACTGAACTAATGACTATCCTAGGGGACGGCACCCATAGCTAAGACACCCACGGTGTCCTATAACACATTGTTCGTTCTACTGACATGTAACGATGCTACGTTCGGTCTCTGAATGCAGGTCATTTGCTCAATGGTGAGGTAGATGTGGTCTGGTATTGAACGTTCCTCTTACGGCACAGCTTAGGCGAATCCTCAGCTATCCAGCATTGATGAGAGGTCCTGTTCCGGCTTTCCAATTAGGAGACCATTGTACTGGGGATGTGATCTCGATGAATTCGAAAAACAATCACGGGAAGTTAAACGGTTCAATGTTTACGTGTTTGGTGTGAATGCTTGAAACGATTGATGGTTTGGTTCGATGAGGCTTGTCTTGTGCTTGTGGTAACACGTCGCTTGTGATGAAGTTGTGTAGATCGAAGTGTTGCCTTTTGAGAGATGCCAATAGTCCACGTGCAGTGACTTATTAACTCTCAATAGTGCGCAGAAGGCGAATATTTCCAATCCGCTGCAGCCGGTATGTGAAACCACCGCGTTTTGACGACCCACTTCACCAAAATTAAAGTCAGTCCCGGGCCATTCGAGCTCCTGAGAATAGCTCTAACCGGCGGTGTCAGCAGAGGCGAGGCCCTGACTCAATACTGTGGAAATATAGCCCTTAGTGCCGTCATCACTAACGCTAAGTGGTAACGATCTGCATAAGCTTGCAGAGTGCTTTAGGAAATTCATCATGCTGGGAGTAAAGCATTTAATATCACTTTTGTGCTGTTGAGTGCCTGAACCTTGCATCTTGCCATTACGGCGCATGGCTGAAGGAGCCCCAATAAATTCGCGAAGCATAAGGCATGCCAGTCTCTCTTCTTATGCACGCGTGACCGCTCTCCTACATTGGTACCAATCTGACCTATAGCTTGAATGGTGTACCATGTAATCCTATGCTCCGTAAGCTGGCACCGAGCGAGTTATTTGTCGTCTCGGGGCCGTATTGATGTATCTGTGACGTCATCGGGCGGTGACGTCACTGAACAGATGGTCCGGACGGTCCGTCAATGAGCTCTTATTGGTATCACCGTGATATTGATGTCGACAGGACCCCGGGGGTCTCTTGGGGTTCATCTGATTATAGTTTACATGGACGGAAGCTGAGCGAAACTTTCTTCTGCTTTTTTGAAGCACTTATTCCTCGGTGGTATAAGGCATAATGGAGTATCTTCAGTCTTAACTAAGCTCACAATATATGCAATCTTATGATTATCGACCAACCAAAGTATGTCGCTAAACGCTGCGGTTTTCATTTGATAAAGCATATGGGCCTGGGGACTTCATTTAAATTGCAGACACTTCACTCGTTTTCTCGCTAATGTCACCACAGGGCTTTGTTTCAACTGTATCAAGTTGAATACTTTCAAGAGGAAGTTGGCTGACGCCTTGGCGTCATAATTTCTCCGAATGGCTTTGATTGATTGCATACTGATCGGATACCAACGACTGAAATTAGCACCGATTTGGTTCAAGTTCTGTTGAGCAGCATCATAATGTCCCATATTCCACCAATCTGCTCGCTGCTGAAGGCCCCCGGCAGCCAACTTTGTCGCGAGAACTTGTCAGCGAGAATTTTAAAGCTGGAACGGCTTCGGGGGATTTGAGATGCAAAGTGATGTCTTTAAGGTCTGACGATACTCCCTTGCATCTCGATGAAGCACATATCCTCCGAATGCATCACAACAATTAACCCGCGCCCCACTGGGGTCTGTGTATAACACGCCCTACTGGGGGGGGGGGGGCTATTCATAGCCCCCCCTTCTAACTCCGAAACTACTGGGCCGATCGTCAAAATTCAAACGGCGTCTGATAGCCCCGGAAAAACTGTCGAGCGAAACCTAATTTCATTGACCTCGAGGTTACCGATGACGTCACAGGTCAGGTCAAAGTAAAAATTATTAGCACTTTGGCTTGTTCACATTTTGGGCTCTGGCCGCCGTCTTACAAGTCAGATCAGGCTCATTTTTGGTTTCCACACTCGTGAACAGATGCTCTAGATACCTTGAGGGTACCAAACTTGTACTTTGATTTTCAGGTCAGGGTCAGGTCATCACAGGTCACGAAAATATTATATCATGCGTCGGTCACGTGACACATGTTTTATGGTCCATTTAGGCCATAGATTTCGAATTTGATGTCGTCTGTGTCATTCAAGGTCATTTTGAGTCGAAATTAGCTTAGGTCAGGTCACTTTCAGGTCAAAAAAGGTCAAATTTTGAAGTTGAAATTTTTCAACAAAAAAGGTGTCTATTGGATGCAGTTTGAGCTCAGGAACACGATGGTGCCATTTATATTGGTGTATGATGCCAAATACGTACTGAAAAATTGATTTGAAAAATTAATAATTGTGAATTTTTTGCAATAATGCATATAACGTGGCCATTTTTGAAGATATTTAGCTAAAACTTGCTAGAGTTAGTCATAATCATGCGTTCTGTCACATATATTCCGGTTTTTTCGAAAAGTCAAAAACTTTTTGAAAAAAATATAAAAATATAAATTTTGAATATTATTATATAAAATTTTCGAAATTTTCAAAATTTTGAAAATCCGAGATAGCAGTTTGATAGCGCGGTCAATTCTGAGTCCTTTCATGCAAAGAAATTGGATCTAGCTTAAAAACTGAGCTCTTGGGAGCGATTGCCGTGGTTCAATGTTTTGCGTCGAAATCGGACGAACATGACGTCACTCTGACGTCATTTCCGGCCGACCTATGGTAGCTACGAAGTTCAAATTTTGACACAAGGTGTCAAATTGATGCAGCCGAAGGTACTGAAAGTTTGGCGTCGATTCGTCAAGCGGTTTGGAAGTTATTGCAGAAAAACGGGAGGGGGGGCTATAAATAGCCCCCCCCCAGTGGGGCGCGGGTTAAGTTTTAATTTATGTGACGAGACAGGATGTGATTATTTCAAAACAGCTACCTCGGCTGCCTCTAACAGAAACGTCCGTCGTATCAGTAATGTCGGCGAAGTGTTATCTTCTAACGCTCCGGGAGACTCGGAGTGGCGCGGTCGTTTGTCTTCCGTAGAAAATGTGCCGCAATTGTCACAGCCAGGAGATTTTTCACGGTTACGAGGTTTTTATCGTTTTATTTGGTAAAATAGGACCAGATCTGTTGCAATGTACTGCTTACGATTTTCTCACTTTTGATCTCCTTTTCTTGCAGGGTATAAATCCGAAGGCTTCTTTGTACTGTTTTATCATTGCTGCTTTGTGTGTTCACTGTTCATCGCCGCTGCTCATGACCCTGCTACATGACTTCCCGTCGCCTTATACCCAATTTGATGTCCTTCGCCCATAATCCAGACATGAACCCCGATCTCCATCTCCTCCTCTTCACCAAGCCTCTGCTTTTTCTTGTCTGCTGTTTCATAACCCCGTTCCATTACCCTTCTCCTTCCCCTCGACGCTCTTTACCCTCACCCTAACCCCCATCTAACCTCCCCCCCTCCATTCTCAGGACGACTCTGTGCAGCTGCACCTGCTGTCTGGCCGGCCGCAGCTACACCATCGAGTTCCTGCGCTTCTGCAAGCAGGCCACTCTGCAGTTCTGTGTGGTCAAGCCGGTGATGGCCTGTGTCACCATCGTCCTGGAGGCCTACGGAAAATATTCGGACGGATACTGGAGGTGAGAGGAAGGATGGGGGAGAAGAGCTAGGGGGCAAGGGAGAGGGAGAGGAGTAGGGAGAGTGAGATAGACCAAGGGTATAGTGATGCAGGGCCGGATGCGGCAAGGGCTAGTTAAGTAGGGGAGAGAGATGAAATGCTCACTGTTTGACATATTTCATGTTGTGTGTGTGTTTACGGTCAAAATCAGCGAAATTTCATGCTAGAATGGTTCTTCGTGAATCCATTATTGCCACAATGTGGTGCTATATTTCTTTTGATCAAACCAATCCCAAGACGCTTCAAAATTTCTGTATTTGTCGGCAATTCAGTTCAATTGGATTGCCGCTCCTTGTGTGTGCATGAAACAACCCATACAAGAAAAAACAATAGTTTCACACTCTACATTCATTTCATTTTGATGTATTTCGTAACGTTTGATATTGTGCAGTTTGTGTTTATGTGTAGTGTTGTGTTTGTATGTAGCCATTTATAATTGGTCGCCGTAACATGACCTCTCGTAATCCGGCCCGATCTGGGTCCAACCTCTATCTATCCTCTCTGATCCCCGATCGGCGGGCCCATCCATCCATCGGTCGGTGCTCCGCTGAGTTATGGTTGTCTGTCCAATGTATTGGCGGATGTCGATGGCTGTGACGGCCTGCCGAGTTATGTTCGTCTACTACCTGATCAGCTGTTGTGGCTCCGCTGGGAGCCACACGTTGCCACCGCCGCCGCCGCCGCCGCCGCCGCCGCCGCCGCCGCCGTCCGCCGCTGCCGCCCGGCGCCCGCCGCCAAAGCAAGGTGTGCCAGAGTGAGCGAGGCGAGCCGGCTCCCTCGGCGGCGGCGGCGGCGGCGGCGGCGGCGGCGGTGTTATGGGCGACTAGTGGCCGGGCCGGCGGGCGCGCAGCCTTGAGGCCCGCCTGACACGGCCGGCCGGCCGGCGGACGCGCAGATCAGGCCCACGGTGCGCGCGCGGGCCCGGCCCCAGGCTCGCCCTGCTGTGACGGTTGGGCGAGGAAAGACGCGTAGCGAGAGACGTGGGGTTTGATGAAGCTTGGCAAACTGGGAAGTTTGCTTGAGTTAGAAAATGTTCCTGGGTTTGTGTGTTAAAAAATGAAGAGTAGAGTTTAGGTGTTGATGTGTTCGTATGTATGTTGGGAAGGAATGCAGCGTACACGTACGGTGGCTTATCGATCGGCCACGTACCAGCCATGCAGGTGATATGGTGCAGAGGATCGGATGCTATTTTGTTTATTGGTTGCGCCTAAGTTGAAATAGGGTATGGAAATTTTGTTTCGTCTGCAGTGGGCGAGTTGTGCGTGTACCCGCAAAATATTTGCACCATGTTTGCACCACCACAGCTGATGATTACTCATATTATTGGTTGGCTCATAGATGATCACTTTCGTTAAAGTTTTAAGCCGGTTTTTGAATTAAATGCATGCTATTATAACAAAGCATGACTAAATTACAAGACGGTATTGTATAGCCAAAGCGCTCCATAACCGTAATGCCTCGCGCAGTCCACAGTTTTTCATGTGTAACATCGCTACTGATCAACAACTTCACCATCTCTGACCCCCTCCGTTTCCCACAGCGCGACCAGCGGGTACCTCTATATCACCATCATCTACAACTTCAGCGTGTGTCTGACATCCTCCCCCCCCCCCCAGCGCGACGAGCGGCTACCTCTACATCACCATCATCTACAACTTCAGCGTTTCGCTGGCGCTCTATGCGCTCTTCCTGTTCTACCACGCCACCAGGGAGATGCTGCGACCCTTCGATCCCGTCATCAAGTTCTTCACAGTGAAGTCGGTCATCTTTCTGTCCTTCTGGCAGGGTGAGATATGCATAGAACGAGACGCCTGCATAGACGTCCGTTGGTTTTTGGATTGTAGGCCGAGGTTTTCTAGGCAGTGTTTTTCTCTGTTTTACTTCATTCGGACGTTGGTTTTTATTTGACGATTTCATCAAATGTTTCACAACAGAATGTGTTTCATAACAAATTTTTGAGTAGACAGGAAATCGCCTTATTTTGCAACAATTGCAGATCAATAATTGATCATTAAGCCTGTAAATAACTCATTTTGAAGTTGTAATAAACAGCCGCGATCGTGATAACTTCTAACTCAAAGTGTTCACGTTCCATTATCCACCCCCCCCCCCCCCTCCCCAGGCGTGCTTCAAGCCATTCTGTAGATGAGTAACATGTCCTTCCCCCTCCCCAGGCGTGCTTCTGGCCATTCTCGAGTGGAGCGACATGTTCGAGGAGCGCAGCTACATCAACCCAGGCACCATGTCGGCCGGCTACCAGAACTTCCTCGTCTGTATCGAGATGTTCTTCGCCGCCATCATGCTGCGCTACGCGTTCCCGCATACGACCTACTCCCAGGAGTGTTTTACCGATCCGAGCGGACGGTCGGTGACCATGACGAGTATCTCCAGCTCTCTGAAGGTAGGTTTGGTGGGGGGGGGGGCAAGGAGGGAGGGAGGGAGGGAGGGAGGGAGGGAGGGAGGGAGGGAGGGTGAGAGAGGGAGAGGGAGGGGAAGAGAGGGAGGTGGTACCTAGGTGTCGTTAACCGTTTTTTATAGTAAGCCTCTACGTTTGTTTTTGTTTTTGAGACCGATTGTACTACATGTGAGCTTTCTTTAGGATGTTTTTTTTTTATCCGGTTGTAATCCATGAGCGTATCCTGAGAGCATTTGAATGGATTACGTCCGGTATTGTACCCATAATCGGATTTCACCCGCATTTGGTAGTGATTTGAATGGGATGAATGGTGTCAACATAGTCATTAACACTTACTTTTAGTCTCTGAACTGTCGCTTATGCCGGATGTAGTTTATGTAGAAGGATGTGTGGTCATCTCGGTACCCGTCTAACTAGTCAGTCTTCTCTCTCGTCTCTTTCGAAACACTCACAGTTAAAAGGCCATCCACAAATCACATTATCAACATTGAACGCGGTATACCATGAGTCCGTATGGACCATGAGTCCGTAAATGCAGTTTCTCTCTCTCTCTCTCTCTCTCTCTCTCTCTCTCTCTCTCTCTCTCTCTCTCTCTCTCTCTCTCTCTCTCTCTCTCTCTCTCTCTCTCTCTCTCTCTCTCTCTCTCTCTCTCTCTCTCTCGCTATGCTTTCCCTGCCATTCTTTTGCCATCCCACAACATTGCGCTGCTTACATTTCGCCTCGCCTCTCCTCTCTTTCCCCTCCCCATCCTCTTTTCCCCATGTCCAATGACTGCACCAGTCCCGTCCGGTCCAGACCACACAGTGCGGCACTCTGCACGGGGGGGAAGGGGGGGGGCTGTGTGGGCCACTCCGGGATCGATTCACCGACGCCCGAACGTCTAGTCCGGGCGACCGAACGGCCGACCGAGCGATTAGCTGTACGTTCTTTGATCGTGATGCCTTTGCCGCTGTTATCTGTGTCGGTCTTTGGTGTGTAATGAAGTACTGTTATCTCCGTTGGCCGTCAGATATGGTGTGTTGTGGTCAAATCAGACAAGTCACAAATGCGTCCCTGTATATTGGGTGTATTACAATTAATGTTTGACGCTTTTATTTTGTGTTTTCGCAGGAGACGATGAACCCACGAGATATAATGACGGACGCGATTCACAACTTCCATCCGCAGTACAGCCAGTACACCCAGTACAGTGCCGGTACGTACACTGCAGTACACTGCGGTACATTCAGTACACTGCAGTACAGCCAGTACACCCAGTACAGCGCCGGTACGTACACTGCAGTACACTGCAGTACATTCAGTACAGCCAGTACACCCAGTACATAGTTCACCAATAGTACACCGGGTGTACTAATACGGGTGTACTACACCCGTATTACTTCCATAGTTTGGTACCGTTTTATATTACGGTCACAGAAGCTCGATTTTACATGCAAAAGCCGTTCAAAGCCGTGCTTTCACAGACGGCTTTGAAGACTCCCCAGATGTATTTGTCGTTCCATTTTACGTGAACTTCTGTGAGATGCATTCAGAATAGCTGAGACTCGGCGCAAGCAGCTTACATTGAGCGTCTCGAGTAGACACTTTATTATCTGCTAGCTGTTGGTATTTCCCCTTACGTTTCCCTAGTTTGACCAGCTTTCCCAAGTATCGAACAACTAGATTGGGTAACTACCACTAGGGACAAATTACTTAGCTATTGGACGCGAATAATTCTATGATCTTCATCCGTGCGTGTAAATCCCATGTTGTGATGCATTACGGTGCGGTAAACACGATTATGCGGGTATTTGTGTACCTGACAGCTCTACGATTGCCGAGCTTTTTTACCTCTCCGGGCTGGCTTTGGCTGAGACGGATCCATCGCAGCTGTCGGCGGCAATAAATGTATTCCAGACATCGGCTCGACGCTGCGTCCAGAGCACTTTGTCAGGGGTTCGTTCAAATTGATGAGTTCGGGGTAATGCTGCGCGACTTGGGTGACAATTCACGGGGGTCTCACGTCAGATTCAGTCAGCTTTATTCACTGTGAGCTCTATTGAGGCAAATTCACGGCAGATAAGAACGAGTGTTTTTCGTGGCTGATTGGTAATGCAAAATGTGGACACTAGGGTATTTAAGCAGCGCCATTCGTTAGCCCTAGGATATAAATAAAGAGTAGTGATTGTTGATATCAATTCAAATGTGACACACTACAAATAATACTGATACTACAAACACACCTGGAAGGGGCTGGTACACATCTACTCTCAGGTAGGTTTGTTTTAGGTGATATTTCAACAGAATGCATTCTCGTTTTGCTTGTATGCACGTCAATTGCTCGCTTGCATTTTTGCCATGCATTTTTATTTGCTGACTGCAATTCTAAGTTCAGTTTAGTCGTGTGGTATTCTTTAGCTAGTAGCAACTACGTATGCTAGTATGTGTATGCTATAGCTAGAATATCGTTTAGGATTAATCAAACTTAGCCGGTGTCGTAGAGGGATAGCTGACAATGATCCAACAAGCTTAGTGACCTGTGTCTGTGTGTTTGTCATTATCTCATTCCTCTCTTACCTCGAAACTGGCACCCACCCACACATTCACCCTTTGAAAGGTTTGGGTTCAATAAAGTAAGGGTATTGGCTGAGCCTGACTCGTACAGGGTGTGAACTGGGTTTGGTTTGGTTTGGTTTGGTTTGGTTAGGTTTGAAATGTGCCTGATGAGACTCTTCACTCTAAACGCTGCACTTGTCTTGGGCCCTTGGTGTGGTGAATTCTCCCAACGTGCATGGGTTGATATTTGACAATCGTTTTGTCGTTTTCTTTCCTGATTGGTTTGGTGTACGATGTGATTCAATTTGTGAACGCCCTTTGTAGATTGTGTGATTTATTATGCAGCGCATCTTCATCATGTGCTTTATCGTGCATTGTATCGTGTGCTGTGCCGTATAAGATTGGTGTTTGATGTAAAAAGTTGTACATTGCTGTATAGCTGTATCATTTCGCGAATGATTGCGTTATATGGATGTGCTTTGTCCCTTACTATGCTATTTGAATAAGCCGTTGGGTATTTTTGCTTTATATTGACGTCCGTTTTCCCGCACCTCTCTGCAAGCAGAGACAGTAATTAATCCCCGATTACATTCCCCTCTAAAAATAGCCGTCGGTCCGTGGATCTCTGTCGGTCGTACCTCTCCTTATAGAGACATCAGTCAGTCGCCGCTCGCTGGATGCTCTCTATTTATAGCTACTCTCCTCAGTGGAGTGGCAATGTCAGAATGTGATGAAGGTCGATGGTGTGTCCGAATTTCTCAGAGGAGGATTTTATCATCCCGCGCTGTGATATTTATCTAGGACAGAAATGTGTTCAAATGGAAATATCGGGACACAGTAACATATGTACATGCTTCTGGATTTTAAGCCGTGCTTTTTGTGATATAATAATGCGATCCTTTTCAGTTCCCAGACCATACACCAGACCGAATTTCTAGTTCTGCTGGCTGAATAAAAAGATGGCGGCCATCCTTTTGATTTTGGCTGGGTTTATGACTCTGTTTAACTTCTAGGGTGAAATGTGAGTTCCCATTGTTTTTGAAGCCTGTAACGCTTTTAACCATGTTAGCTGATGGAGCATGTTTCACAAGCTTCCTTTGTTCTCTCAATTTCAAATTATCTCAGATATGACAATATGTATTTTTGTAAGGTAACACGAAGTCTGAAATTTAAAAGTAATCCCAGCCAGACTGGGACACCCATACTTTCAGAGGCATGGGGGCAGATGCTTAGGGGAGAGGGATTAGGGGAACCGCCTCGTGACCTTTGTTGGAGATCTGTGACCTTTGTGGGAGGAGGAGGATCTGTGTCCAGACTCCAGAGTCGCTGATCGGCCATTGATGGTTGAAGTTTGTCAGACCGGGGTCTGTCGGTGGGACGGATTCCTGGAACTGAGACGTGGTCGATCTGGCGGAACCGTGGGCGCCCTCCAGTGGTGGATTGTCATGACTGAGTTGTTTAGAAGTTGTGTTCTGTAACTGGTCCTTGGGAGTGAGAGGGTTGTCCCGGCATGGGAGGGGGAGGGGGTTGTGAAGTAAATATGACTGTGACTGGAATGTGATTTCGCGATGCGTTCATTTGGTTGGCGTGATTTGTTCCGGGACGGTGCGATTCACATGCCTTTGTTTTTTTTATGTGGCGTATAAGACGTGTGGTCCTTTGGGCGTGATTGTGTAGAACCTAATTCCCAGCTATCACGCTTAAATTGAGAACGATTCCCTGCCCAGTGTTGCCCCGTCGCTGCACGTGAATGACCTTAAAATATGCCTGCCTTGCATCGGTAGCGAATGCATCCAATCAGTTATATTGAATGTTTTACCAATGACTGTTACATCCGTGTTTGTCCTGCTCGAAATTTGGCTGTTCTCTGTATGACGGTCCAGTGACCCGACCCCTCCCTGCCTGCTGCCCCTCCCCTGACCCCGGTGACCCGCCGCTGACCGGCCGGCGCCCGCAGGCATCGGTGACGGCAGCAGTCGCCGTCCGCCCGCCTCCCGGCCCGCCGAACTGGACGTCACATCCACCGCAGTGGCGCCGCCTGTCGGCCCGTCGGCAGGGTTTCAGGAGCTGCGCGCGCCGCCAGGCGGCAGCACCAGCGCTCCGCCAGGTGGCAGCACCGGCGGCATGGTGCCGGGCTATCAGCAGGGTACTGGCGTGCGCTCGGCGGCGGTGGCGGTGGTGGGCACGGCACCTCGCGCAGTAGAAACACAGCTCAGCACTTGGTGGAGGAGAGGGGCACGCGGGCGGGGGATGGAGTGGCGGGCTGGTGCCGGAGTGGGGAGTTTGGGGATGAAGGCCAATGAGGTCTTGTCAGACCAGAGACGACCTAACTAATTTGTGTCTTTTCCTTCCTTCATTCTTATGCTGCTGTTTTTAGTTTACTATAAAAACTCATATTTTATATTCATGAACGTAAAAGTGGAGTGTCATTATTTGTTGATACAGTTATTGATCTTTTTCTTTATATGTACCGGCAATAAGGGAATGATAAGTTAGTTTTCTTCTGAACTCACTTATTGATTTTGTCCGTATTCTGTGTACTCCGGCACCGTCTGCGCTCCGTTACCCCTGGACTGCGTGCGCCCGGCACTGGTGGTGGTCCAGCTCGTATGTCTCACAGCCGACACCCCACCGCCACTGTCTCACAGCCACTGTTTGTCTCACCGTATCTCACTTGTCACTGTCTCACCGAATATGTGTCAGTGTTTCACTGATCACTGTATCTGCGTCACTGTCTCACTGTTGTGCCTCACCGTCACGGCCTCATCGTGTCTCACTCATTGTCTCACTCAGTCCATGTCTCACGTTGGTTGTCTCACGTCATGCCGTGGCTCACTTCTCACTTTTCTTAGCCTTGCTCACGTCTATTCGTATTCTCGCCAACACTGTCACTCTTTCACTGTATTATATTTGTCATGCTGGCTCGCCTAGACATTTTGTTGGACCGTCCCTCTCATGATGTATCATAAGATGTGTATTCCAGCTGCACATTCAGTGTGTCAACTCTGTCACACCGCTTTAGCTACTGTCTTACACATAATCTCATCTCGAGGATCCGCTTAAACGTTTTCCTCACCATTCCCTGTGTCAATTTGTGTCATAATATGTATCTGTTTCGCATACTGTATAAAGTATATACAATGTGCATTTATTCCCCTCTCGCTCATTCATCTACGCGCGATTTGTGTGTACGTTTACCCTTCACTCGCTCATAACCACAGCTTAAACACTGTTTGCTTCGTGTACATTCTCACCGCTCTAAGCACTGTTGTTCATAGTCGCACACCGATGTCTATCAGACGTTCACCCACATCTAAGCGCCTAAAAGTAGACATTCGCGGTAGATCGGACCAGACGCGTTAGTGTTGACTGCAGTGCCGTGCCCGCCACCCGCCGGCGGCCCGGGCTGCCTTATGTGTTCGTGATGGGACGGCCAGGGGACGGCTTTTGGCGGTGGTGGTGGTGGTGATACGGGGATGGTGCTAGGTGGTGGAGACTGGTGCTAGTTTGGTGCGGTGGTTAATTGGTTCTGCTTTGGTGCTGCTGGAGGTTCTGCCACTCGGTGCTGGTTTGTAGTGTTTCGGTGATGTTATTCGTGCTGATAGGTGGTGTGTGCTGACGGCTTCTGATCTAATGTCTGCTACCATTGAGGCTGTTATTGTCGGCTCGATTCTGGTTCTCTCTCAGTTCCTAGTGATTCCTGACGGGTTGACTGGTGCGTCCCACAGTATCTGCCATCGGTCTTTCAACTCCTGACCTGGACGGACGGCTGAAGATCGCTCTACTTCTATTTCGATTTCGTGTTTAAGTGTTTTGGTAGCTGCAGCTGGGAGAGACTTGACATAACTCAAGCCTCCACTGACATAACCTAAAGCAACTAGCAGACATGCTAGTGCAGCACTGTTAGACTGATGCTGCCAATTATTTGGAAAGAGCGTTCGATGCGCATTTGTGGCGTTTGAGATATTAGTTAGCGCGCCGGCCTTCTGTCTAGTTGGCTTCGATGATTAGAGCTTAGCCAAGTGGTTGCGGACAAGTTAACTGAAATACAGCGGGTAGTGAAGCTCTTTGATCGATGGTACAAGGGTTTCGACTTGTGTTCGTAAGCATAATGTTGTATTTTGATCCAGCCAGCCTTCATGATTCCGTTTGGATGTGGATTTCCACAGCATGCCTATCTGTGCCTCTCGTGTCGCTTCTTGCCTGCATGTGCCCGTCTCTTGCACGCTTTGCACTTTGGTTCGCTTTTTCCAATGAAATGTGTGTTTCTTAAATATTTTTGTTTAGATTCTGATTTACTTAGTAACTTTAAAATGTCCCTATCACTTTTTGTTGAATATTTTTTTTGCGGGCTTTTCAAATAATTTTTGATAACCAGGCTATTCCAGATTCGCATGTAAATTAAGTATTTCTGTTTCCATCATGAATGACAATAATTTTGCTCACTAGATGTATTAATTTCTACCTAGGGTGTCGGCGTTTTGACCATTTGTGCCCCACCATAACCGGTTTTCTCTGGTTTCAGCCGGCGGTCGGCCAAGCAAGAACCACTCTCGTACCCACTCGGGCAGCTACGACGGTGACGCCGGTGTGCCCCAGTCCAGTCTCCATGGCAACAAGAGACCAAACAACCCGCGCGTCAGCGGACTCAGCTACACGGAGAAAACCACACTGCTCTCTAGCGACGACGAGTTCCCGTGAGCGGCCGCGACCGGGGCGACACCTATACCGTAGTTAGTTACTCTGCGCGCCGCTAGGTGTCCCTGACCGGTGATTGGGTTCGGTGATTCTGTGATTAGTTGAGTCGCTCCGCGGCCTGCGAGGGCGGTAGACGTTTTCTGTTGATATCACGTGCCACCGCAGCGGATATACGCCGTGATAATTATGCGCCGCTGGAGCATAGCTCGGGTATAACAAGCTATGATTTTCCCAGGTGTAAGTTATGTACAGTGTTTTTGTATTGCTTTTCACACATTTAGCCTCACGCATTGATGTAATTTTGTTAAAACTATCGCTGTTGTAGTCTTTTTATAGTTCGTTTTTCTTAAGTTCGACCCTCACTGTAAACATCTTTTTGGAAACAGCACGAGAATTGCTAGCTGAATTACTGAGAAAACTGGTTAGCGCACTTTGTACTGGAGATATGGATGAGTATTTTCAAAATAAGTTTCTAACACCAATGATATACTGTTACGCTAAACGCCGTGCGATTTATTAATTAAATTACTTATACTTCCTGACAATTCCTCGATCCTTGTGGGGCTGCAAATACCGAGCTGCGAGTCTGGGAAAAAGAAGCCAGGTAGAAATAATTTTGATACAATTGATCGTTTGCGAAATCATTGTGCGCCAACGAGTTTTCTCAGTAATTCAGCTAGCAATTCTCGTGCTGTTTCCAAAAAGATGTTTACAGTGAGGGTCGAACTTAAGAAAAACGAACTATAGTATCTGCGATCGTTTTCGTCCGAGTAGTGTTGCCTGTTGATTGCATAATGCGTCTCATATATCGGGTGTGATTCGACATTCGCCTGGCGCGCGTGCGTTTTCTCGCCAAACACCTATCTACTTACGATTAGCTTTTCTGAGATTTTCGGCGGCTGTAGCTTCGATGTAACGATCTCTGCTCGTACGAGATCAGCCGGGGTGAGAGAGTGTATTTATTCGGTGTACCTTCGCCAATGGGTGACCCGCAGCGCGGGGTCTGTACGGTTTCGATCAAGTAGTGAGTAGGGGAGGGCGGGACTCTTCTTTGGAGTAAGGTGGCCGAGAGTTAAGTTGTGGTCGAGCTGTCTATGGGAGTGTATCGGTAATCTTCGATGGCGTGATTCCGCTCTCAGTCTCTATCTGTCGGTTTCGAGTGAATCTATCGACATTTGGATGAATGATTGGCTTGTGTCAGTTTGTGGTGGTGAGCGTATACCATATGTGACAATATGTGCATAGCAGACTAGGGCGTCGATCTTTAACTTGTCTAGCATATGTCTTCAATCTCTGCTATCAGGTTAGCTACTCTCCCCATAAATATTGTCTTCAGCCCCTCTGTCAGGTTTGCGTGAATGCTCTGATGCGTTCCCCTATTGCCCTATCTGACCGTACGTATTTAGTGCCGTGTACCGCTGTATCGTAATGTGTACGAGTGTATGGCAATGTGTATGTGGATGATGCTGTTGGTATGGCTGGTGTATGCTGTTGGTATGGATGTAATTGTATATGAATGTATGAGGCTGTATGGTGGTGCTAAGACAGTCGTGTGGTAAATGTGGCACAATGGCGAATTGTCTCCTCAGCTCCAATCCTGGTGATTGTGAAGACCAGGCAGTGTAAGGACCAGGACACGTTTTGTCTATGTCTGTCCCGTCCCGTCCTATTGTGGTATCGGTCCGTGATCTCGCTGATACGTCTATCAAATTTCAGTTAAATTCATCATTCCTTGGCACCGATATATTCATTCAAATCACTATTCAGACATATACCGCTATGATGCTCTTTATTTCACAAGCCCCAGTGACTATGGGTTCGTCTCTCTACTTTTCCTCGTTATCTTTTTGCTCTCCCGCGCCCTGTAGTGTGCTGATTGTACAGCGTTATTTAAGAGTATCCACCCGGAGTTTCTCGCAGTGGAGCCGGCACGATTATATACCCAATGTGTAGTGACTGCCTATTGAGACTGTTCCGTGTGTGGCAAGTCCAGAGTCTCTGTGTGTCCTCTGTTCGCTGATTCGTCCTTCCTTGCTGGCTGGTGCTGAAAGGGACGTATGGGGATACGATACCCGTGTAGGAAGGGACTCGGGCGGGCTGGAAGGGACTCCGTCCTATTGGAGTTTGCCCCTGTCGTACGTAGCATGCCGTTTCGTTCCTGGATGTTTTGTTCGCAATGTGTATTGGTGATTGTTGGATGGGTTAGAAGGGAAGAAGCGGGGAGGGGTTAGAATTTGACGCCACACGGCTATAGAAATCTGTGTAGAAACTGCAAATGTGCGATACGGCTGACCGTGGTTACAAGACAACCCATCGGCGATGAACTATATAAAACGCCAATAGAAAAAAAACTACCCCTCATACATGGGCAAAGTAAATGCACGTTTTAAACCTACCTGGATTTGGGGTAGTATGTATCTGGGGTAGTCCCGTTGCGTTTACGCACGACGAATCCCTCTGACTGTGGCGAATCCACTGCTCTCGTGACTCTTTGTCGAGGGCTCCGTCGATCTGTCTTGTCGTCGTCTGCGCCTCTACACTGTCAAACGATCCACGCGCGCCCAAAGTCCGCTATTGTAAATATTTATTTTCGTACATGTTAGTGTGCGACAAAGGTGTGTCAAAAGTGGCGCAGGACCCTCCGTGCGCCGAAATTGGACATCGCGCCACGGTTGTCACCTCTGCGCCGGCGAGCGAGGCGCCCGGACCTGTTAGATCGATTTGTGAATGTTTATCGGGAAAGAGGGGCTGTCGGAGGGGACGAGAGGAGGGGAGAGCGCGGGAGCGAGTGCAAGATGTGGCGAAGCTTTGTCGTGAATAAAACCACAAAACGGGTCTCGCATGTGTGGGAAATGTTATGTGGATGCGATGAATGGCAAATCTGGGTATCGGATAGATAACATCGCTGGTTTACAATCACATCCTTATCCTTCGCAGGGCCATGATCTAAGTCATTCACGATTCACGGAAATTCACGAAAGAGCGCTTCACGAGAGAATATCCACGGCTGAAAACCATGGTGGGCAAGCGTGGTGGGCAAAGGCGTCCGCGTCGTCCCGGTAGTCGGGATGTCCTAGGTTCGATTCCCGGTTCCGGCCGTCCGTCCTCTGACTGTGTTCCTAGCCGTTCAGACTGGACCTCAGCGGTGTAACTTTAACACACTGCTAGGGTCGAAGCGAGATATTCGACACATATAGCAGGCACGTCAGCGTCGCATTCGCACATCGCTTAAGACCAAGAAAACGCGCATTTAATGCTGAACACCTACTATCAGAATAGACGTTGAAATGCTGGACACGATGCCTCTGTGATGAATATTGAATCACACCAATATTTCAAACATTTCTAAAAATGTGCAGATCTCGGTTACCGTCCTTGCGTCAGTCAAATCACATCACGTCATACTTGCGACTGACGTCAATATTCCAGTAGCATCACACAGAGGCATAACACATCAGCCGATTAGAATCGAGGGCTGCCTTCCCTTAGCAGTCTAAAGCTTCAGTAAAAGGCAACATTGATGTACTTATACAGTTAATGTTGCAAACTTGACGTAATCGGATTACTTACAGACTACAATTAGACATTTCGCCGCACATCTCTCGTCCATCAATCAATGAGAGTCTCTGCTTAAATCGTTTCACTTTGTCTATGCTCGCACCTCGAATCCATAAAACCCACCAATCTCTGCTCCAAAAACTTCCTCTCGCTTCCATTATTCGTGACATGCGATTAACCACACACACAAACAACCCTTACCTAAAATACCTCCCTCACCGGCCACTGATGACGTCACGCCTGCAGATGACGTCACTCGGACCAGGACTGGTCGCCGGGTGCGGCGCGGTGCGTGCAGTGGTTACAGCGCTTTTCTCGCAGCAGAAAGCACGGGATGAGGCCGAGCGGAAACAGCACGACGGCCAGAAACACACCACAGGCGGTGAACCGGGTCCTCAGAGCGCCCACCTGTCGGAGAGATAGAGACAGATAGAGAGAGAGAGAGGGGGGCGGAGAGGAAGAGCGAGAGCGAGAGAGAGAGAGAGAGAGAGAGAGAGAGAGAGAGAGAGAGACAGAGAGAGACAGAGAGAGAGAGACAGAGAGAGACAGAGACAGAGACAGAGACAGAGACAGAGACAGAGACAGAGACAGAGACAGAGACAGAGACAGAGACAGAGACAGAGACAGAGACAGAGACAGAGACAGAGACAGAGACAGAGACAGAGACAGAGACAGAGACAGAGACAGAGACAGAGACAGAGACAGAGAGAGAGAGAGAGAGAGAGAGAGAGAGAGAGAGAGAGAGAGAGAGAGAGAGAGAGAGAGAGAGAGAGAGAGAGAGAGAGAGAGAGAGAGAGAGAGAGAGAGAGAGAGAGAGAGAGAGAGAGAGAGAGAGAGAGAGAGAGAGAACGAACAAAGGAAGAGCGTCACGAATCAATAACAGAAAGCTGACACCTAAACGTTCACTTTATCGATGGAGGTCCGTATACAAAGCTTTGTGTTACCCAGGGCAACCGAAAAACTTGTTATTGCCGAACTTCCTAGAATCAAGGCCCTATATACCCCTAGAAGTATTCAAGTAAATGACGTGTTTCATGTATGATGCTGCAATAAGTCCTGCGTACCTACATGAATTGATTCTGCAGTAGCAGAAAGCGCGACGAAATCCTCAGACAAGTGAATAACGGTTCGACGATTTCCTGTCAGTTATACTGTCCCGCACCACACGTGGGCATGGTAAAAACTAATAAGTATTTAGGAGGAATACCTTTAGGCACTGACTCCAGTGCTTTCCAGGGTATATTAATTTTGATGCCAGTTGTATAAACACCTGTCTAGAAAAGGAACATCTGGCTCATTCGCACGAACTAAATTATTGTACACAGTCAATTTCTAAGCATAGGCGGCGGAACGGGGAGGGCATCGGGGCACCGTGCCCCCTTTTGATTTTGACATTTTAACAGTAGCCCTATGGGCGTTGCATGGAAAGAATGGGACCAAAAATCGGCAGTGCCCCCCCCCTTTAATTGAAGGTGTTCCACCGCTACTGTCCATGCCAGACATTTACGGAGCATGCTGATAACACCGCCATAGTTTTGATTACACCTATGTCACTGAGGTATGTCTGCAATGACAATCACGAGCGACATTCAGTCATAGAAATGATGAGAAAAAATTTTAAAAGGAAAGCTTATGCAAAATGAAAATAGTTTTGTGAAAACGTAAATTAAACACCTTTAAAATTAAACGTTTACCTGAATCAGGTAGCTCATTACTTGCACAATACAGACTATGTAGGTACAGTGCAATCAAATTTCTGTAAAGTCTTGCTGAACCTATGTGAAGTGATGACTGCATATTTATCTGATAGATCGATATTTTAGTTTCACTCACTAGCCAAGACAATCATGCAAGCTCATGGCAGTGCTACAACGGCAAGGTAACATTGTTTCCAATTGCAAGGTAATGACCGAAGATAGATCTGTTCTTGATTTCCAAATGCGTTTAGCCGCGGTGAAATATCTGAATCGACAAGCGTTCATTGCAAGACTAAATGGATGAATAACTGAGAAACATTGAAAATGTGAGCATTTTTGTTCATTTTGCCCATTTTTGAGCGTTTGGGTGTTCTAGATAATGGTGTACATTTGTTGGCACAATGACTTTCACATCAGTAATTACTTCTTTTTAATCTCTATCTTGTTTTCTGCCGGGACATCGCAACAACAGTTTGAATCTACTTTCTCTTCTCACAAGAACATTAACGTCACGAAATCAGTTGGGACAAATGACCAGGAAATTGACTCCCTCCGTGATCAGGGCTACGTCGTTCAAGAGTTTGCCGACCGCTCTTCAGTGGTTCTGTTTGGAGATGTCGCTTATGATCCTCGGCAGCTCAACTCTCAGAAGCCGGCGGGCCGCTGGTCCACGTTTAGACGGTTCAACACGTGGCTAGAACTCGAAAAGCCACACAAGCCACATCTTCGCTATTACTTTGACACCGAGACTTCACCCGATAAGACTATGTTTATGGAAGCCGCCAACTCGTGGATGGACAAGACCTGTATCCAGTTCGAGAAGATGCCCGACGCGCCCTGCTCGGAAAATACAACGGTGGCATCCATATGCGTGGGAAAGTTCCCGGGCTGCTGGTCGTATCACGGGCGGATCAATCCTTACGGCGGCGAGTCGCAGAAGTTTACCATCGGGGAAGGATGCCAAGTGCACCGAATCACCCACGAGTTCGGCCACCTGATCGGCTTTCAGCACGTTCACGGGAGGCCGGATCGAGATCAGTTCATCACGGTCAACAACGAGTTCTACAGGCTGGTGCCCTCCAAGGAAAACAACGCCAAGCTGATTAACAAATGGGGGCAGCTAGGTCGCTGCTCTAAAGATCAAATGAACAACTGGCCGATCCCCTACGACTATCGCTCTATAATGCATTATGCGACGAATGAATATGGTGACGATGATTACCTACCAGTCATCGTAACAAAAGACGTCAGACACCAGTACATGCTCAACTACAAGTACTATGCAAACCAACTGGAAACACATTACGACTTTTACACTTTGAATAGGGGTTACAAATGCGAAGAAATGTGGGCAAAAGAATGCACCAAAAACGGCAAGAACATACCCAAGTGCCAGAATTTGGGATACATGGGCAAAAATTGTGAATGCATTTGTCCACCACAGTATGAAGGAGCTACGTGCGAGAAGAAGAATGGACCAATGTTTCCTGTCATGCCCAAAGCCAAAGTACTTAAGGAGGTAAGAGGTAACCAAGTGGTCGACTTGACCAGGGAGACCATGTCGACCGATAATCTGGACGGCATAAAGGATAAGTTTGAGTATTATCAGTTTGTGACCGTGGTGATTGACCACCCGGATAACACAACTCAGGCTCTCGTTACCGTTCTTCAAACCGTCTCAAAGTCCAAACTGCTGATGGGCCAATTCAAAACAAAAATTAACGGCGACTTTCCGGAGCAGGACTGTCAGCTTTTCTTCATGTGGGGGCAGTCGCACCTCGGTCAGATGCGCACGGAATGTTTCTCATCAGTGGCCAACAACGAGCCGGAGGGTCCCATGTTCATCAGCAAGACGAACCACATGGATATATCGGCCCAGAGCCGGTTCGGCGAGCTCTACACCAGTGCCCAGCTCTCCATAGAGGTTCTCAAGCTCAAACTGGCCGTGCAATTCGTGCCGTCGGTGGTCGAGACTCTAGTGGTGATCGCTCCCAACGTGACCACCACCACGCACCACCCCTTGTTCGCGCCGGACACACCACCGCCGCCCTCCGGTCCGCCCGCGCGGGTGATTATAGGGTTTATCATGTTGGGAGTCACCCCTATAGCGCTGATTGCTCTAGGGATTTATTATAGAGAAAAGGTGCGCGAACTGTTCGAGAAGGGCGTTGAGAAATTGAAGCCAGAAAATGGCGATAATAACTCAGATAGCGATTCGTCGGGAGATGACGACGACGATGATGAAACGAAAGAAAAGGAGAAGAAAGATGAAAAGAAAGAGGAGAAGAAAGATGACAAGAATGATGAGCAAACAGAAAGTGAGAAAAATGAGGAAACTGGCGAAGACGATAAAAAGGAAAAAGAAAAAAGTGGGTGGGCTCTGTGGTGACTTTACTCGAGGTCTACTTTTGTATACTGCGTGATCTGATCTGTAATGTTATTTATTTACTTTTTTTGTGTTGTCTTTTAAACATTAAGTCCCGGGGGCAATCCCAACCACCGTAGTCCGGGAGGAGGGGGGGGGGGTGGGAGGGGAGATGTTAACCCTATTAGTGGCAGGCTCCTGGCCCTATTAGTGGCAGGGGAGGGACTGTTTACGACCCCCCTTGATATCTCGAGATGAAATCGGCCGATTTTCAACCTTAAAACGGCATTCGACTCCACTCCACGCGATCTACAATTTGTCCCAAAAAAGTAATAGGGGGTAGTGGGAAGGGGGAGGGGTAAAAACTCCAAATTGCAGATGCTTTTTTAACTGCTCGCCACGGCCATGTTTTTGAACCGATTTGGACGCAACTACTGCCGATCGATGCAGATGAACCAGAGGTTGACATGTATCATCAAAACGAGCATTTTGATACATCATAGGCGGATACAGGTAACTTAATTTTGGAGTTATTCAAAATGCATAATAAATCGTTTTCTTTTTGTTGGTGCGTCACTGAAACGGGTAAGGAATGATCTTATCGTGCTACAAAAAAACATGATAAAATCTTAAGTTTATATTAATCATAATTAAGTTTTATTAATTAAGTTTATATTCATAGGCGGCGTCCGAGCACCGACGTTGGGAGGTGAAATCAACCTTCCTTTCTTTTTCCTGGAACCGCCTATGAATCACCTGTTGTTCACTTCCACTTGTGAACATGTCATATCTACAAATTCTGTTCATTTCAATCGCTATTGCATTTGCTACTCGACATACCGAACGGTATGATCCAAGAACCAAACATTCGCCGTGTGTAAATACTTCCCAATACTGGACAGTAAACACGCCCATGATGGTCGGAAATCTATTGCTTGCAAGTGTTGAGGGTCACATATGATAAATTTAGTCGTTCCACCACAGTCTGAAGAACTAGCAGCAAACTGCTCATCAAATGGTACGGTGTATATCAATATCAAGCCCCTTTTTTGCACGCCTGGACCCGCCTATTATGATAAAAATTGCAAAAGGAAGGTGCACAATCACTGTGTATATGCTATCATATGATACCTTTCAGTTGCTGTTCGCAAAACTGGTGGAAACAAATAGGACCTCTCGATTCCCGATGTCCCGCAGCCGCCTCTGTTCAATGTATCAACTTGAATTTTTAGGAAATACGCCCAGTTTAGTGTAAGAAAAAGTCACACAATATCAATATCCTAGCTCCGCAAAAAAAAAACTGAGGAGTGAGGGATGGATGAAACCCCTCCCCCCGCCACTATAATAGGGTTAAAACAGAAATCGTCAGATAATGTCTCAACAGTTCAAAAACATGTTAATTTTGACTCAGCCCTTTATATGCACGTCAGATGGGCCCCAATACCGTGATAAATTGACTTCTAGAGGTAAACAAGCACGTCCACCCGTCTTCTTCAAACTGGGCTATTCAAGATATATGTCTTTGATAGGGATCTCCGATGCAAATGCATTCACCCGCAGCCTTTGAACTACGCCCGCAGTAAACTGAATGATAAACATGACTAGAAAACCGATGGACTGCCTTCTAGACCAGCAAATCTGCCGCAAAACTCAGATGCAGGAACATACCTATTCACATATGAGAAGTGAAAATGGCCTCCATAAGCTCCATTGAAGCACAGACTTCAATAAATTACGCATGCTAATAAGGCATCTTGCGATCCAAATATACCCTTTTTGGAAAATCAACGAGACAAAGCAGTTTGTGTAACTGTTCATCAGCTGGCCTATCAGCTAGACCATGCCACAAATATCCGGTGGATTAGCCGAGTTTCCCTATACATAGACAAGGCAAAGCTGACTTGCCTGGTCTATGTCTCCCTTCGATTCAGCTGACTTACCACACAGACCATACAGTGAATACCCGACCATTTACCCCACTGACCTGAAAGACGGGGCAGATGCTATCCGACTATTTACCCCACTTACCCATGCCCGACGATGTACTCCACTTACCCGACAGGCAAAATAGCAAATTCCCGACGATTTACCCCACTTAACCATGCCCGACGATTTACCCCACTTACCCGACAGACAGGGCAGCGGACGTCCTTGGGTGGCAGTCGGTAGTAAGCCTCCTCGGGCTCCTCAGGACTACCCATGGTGCGCCGCGCCGGGGGACCCTGTATGGGAACAGAACGGGCTTAGGTTGACTACTTTTCGTGGGGCTAGGCACACTAAAGACATCGATGTTACTCTTCTCGGTGATCTTAAGTCGTTGGATTCTTCCAAAAATTACTTGAAAATTACAGTCAACACCTATATGTGATGGTTTGATTTTTTTTTTGCAATATGGCCGATTGTACTACTAAGCGATAAATAGGCGTTATATGAATAGGTATGCATTTTACAGTGTTTTGAGCGTTTTGCTCAATGCATTGCTGCTTGTAATTACCTCGAACAGTGTCACAGCACTCATGAAAACATGAATCCAAACGTTAAACAATGTTCTGGGCCATTTCTGCACCGTGACGAGTGCTGTGCCAAGAAGCACGCCACCGTCTAAGTTTGACATCAGCAAACGAAACACGGGTGACGCACATTATAGAGCCGGTAAAGTACATTTATGATGCAGAATCGACTGAGTCAATGTCAACATGGCTGCCGGACAGGGTGCGACAAGGTTATACAATGCAGTGTGCTTTGTTTTGTCGGATAAAATTCCACACTTAATTATTTTTAAATGGTGACACGTTTTACAAACGATAATGCACCGAAACATTTCTTCAGTTGATCCCGTGAGGAAGAAGCTTTGTTGTTTGTGCGACGTCAAAACTAGGCACATAAAGCAAGGTTTGAACATGTAAACAAAGAGCTACCTTTTCTAATCGATTTTCGCCAACTCATGAAACTTTCAACGTTCACTTAACGGTCGGATTTCTACCAAAGTAATCCACAAACTAATAACGTAGAATGTCGACTGCATTATCTGATGACCATGAAGCTAGCTAATCAGTTAGATGAGCTTCTTAGCGTGAAGGCACCACCCAATTTCATGAGACTCACGAACGATAAGACTAAGCTCGTCAACTCCGGTCGGTTCACTGTCCGCCACTCTACGAGAATAATTTGTCATGGAGGTGAAATTGAGGCGTGAATTAATCACAGGGCTATGAAATCACTGAAATGAAAAGTGACTTCCGTGTGCATTTGGCTCCTGCCCGCCAGTCAAGTTTTGACGGTACAGCGACACATCCAAGGAAAGGTAGCAGACAGATGAATACACAACAGAGACCTTACTTCTCATGTCACAATAAATGATGCGATTCCTTTCAGAGATATTCAATACAGTAAGACCATCTTCATTTGAAAAAAAACTCAAAGAAACAATATAAAAAAGAGCTAAGTGAAGCACAAAAGATCTTACCATAACAAAACGATACTGGCAGTCATTGAAAAACGTTTCTAACTGATACGACACTGCCGCCACATGTACCGTGGTTCATAAGACACCGACACCACACTCGGTACCATACGCATCATGCGTCACATGACTGGCAATGACTCACTTAAAATGGCTGAGACAGCACTGTCGTCTCTCTCTCTCTCTCTCTCTCTCTCTCTCTCTCTCTCTCTCTCTCTCTCTCTCTCTCTCTCTCTCTCTCTCTCTCTCTCTCTCTCTCTCTCTCTCTCTCTCTCTCTCTCTCTCTCTCTCTCTCTCTCGTCCCACATACCTTGGCGCCATTCTCGCCTCCCGTCCTGTCCGGTGGCGGTGGCACGTTCAGAGCTATACTCGGTATCACCGAGGCGGGCCGGGAGTCGGACATGCTGCCCACTTTGTTACCCGGCTTCGTGGTGATCATACGGCGAGGGTGGCGCTGCTGCCGCCCATCAGAGGAAGTCAAAGAGGTGGGCGACTTCAGAGGCTGTAGGCTGAAAGCAGGGGTAAGTTAAGTGTCAAGGTAAATTGAAAACGTTATAAATTAAGTATGTAATAATCAAGCATGTCAAACGTTAAACCAAAGGCATGTGGTCTTGGAAAAGTCATTTCCTAAGCTACCAGAGCGTATTTGGACTCAGATGATAAATTCATAGATAAAAAAGTTCATCATCATAAGCAGCAATCAAACTCATGAGCCCTTACCTGTCAAGAATAGGCGATGGACTGAATATTTATTCAAACTTTTCAAATTTCCAGGACAGATTCCAGTCGACTGTCACTTGATTCAGGTACCTACTGAGTCGCTGGTCTCTATTACTTCATCGTCGGCACCCCTTCGGACTTTTCGAGCGGTCTTCAGCGCTTCAAAGTTCACTTTCAAATGTTCCCGATCCGATTTGTTCCATAAGATTCGTCGAGTACATGTACTTCCATGTACATGTACATGTACATGTACGTGCTTCCAGCTTCTGGGTCTAGATTCTAAATTCACCGTCAGTCTGTCTTATTCAGTCTGTCTTATTCAGCAGTCCACCGCCGATAAAAAAGTTGCATCAAATCACGCGTAAAAAGATCTCCCCTCACTAATTCACAAACCAACACCCTCAGACAATCCAAAGCTTCAAAACTTCTGTCTTCTTCTTCTGTCAAACTTCTTCTGTCAAAACCTGCGTCCGATCGCTGGGCCGTCCGTCGGCTGGGGTCCCGCGCCGACTAAGGTCAACCTCCTGCGCCTCGGGCGCTACAACTGACCGTGTCAACTACCGGCGTCTGCAGGAGGGGGGGGGGGGTGTTTGGAGAGAGGGTGATGCGTCATTGATCGCCGCACAGGTCGAGGGGGGAGGGGAGGGGTGGATGCTTCACGAAAACTGGGGTGAGTTATGAGTGCTGGTAGGTTCGTTGGTTGATTGGTTGCAATTGTGATTTGTTGCGTTTACGCAAGTTTGGTGTCGAACTATGCATTATGGCGAGGAGTAGCGTGAAATGGATATCTATCTTAGAATGATGGCTAGTGAATGTCGCGTGGTGGTAAAAGAGGGAAGGTTTTCGCTTTTATTTTGTTGTTACGGTGGCAAAAGCAAGTTGTTCGTCGTCGTTACAGTAGTATCCAGCGTTGGCGGCCCTCACTGCTGTAAGTAACCGTTTAACGTAGCATCAGCCTAGCTCCATCGTAACTCAAAGCTAAAAAGGCGGTCCTCTGCTCCGCGAAAGTTTTAATAGATGATTTTTTTTAACACAACTTAAATCGTGATTGTTCAGCAGTCATCATTAAAACTAATACTTTTTGACGAAACATGTTTTTTCAAGGAAACAGAAGTGAACATTCATTTGCATTTACCCGCTTGTTGAAAGAAACGTATTTTCTCAAAATAAAGTGTATTGTTTCATTTTTACATTGGCTCTCTAGTCTCTGACTTGACATATTCCCTAGCTCATTTTGCAAGACAATCGACAAAGACATTAAAGAACGATACACGCTATAAACTACAGAAAATTTGGTTTAACATTTCGGTTGCTAATAGCTAAATCGAGACATTATCTTTCCCGTCAAGAAGTTAACTACTTCCATCCAGTTTCTAGTAATTCTGATTCCGCGTTTACGGCATGTAAGCTTCCATATTTTATGTCGCCGGCAGGCTTAACCTTAAACACTACCATTACGTAGCCTCTCTACTGTCATGGCAAGTCGCCGCAAGAGCCTCCGTGCCCCCACAACACATTCATCAAGCTAAAGAGCTAAGTTAAGTGACGGACGGTCGTGGTATGAACCGAGCTTTTAAAGACAATCAAACAATGCTCGTACATTGAGCCGACTCATTTCAACAGCAGATTATGCTAGTGAGGCCAGTTTGCTGCTATTTTAGACCGGGGAAGCGTTAGTTTTGGGTTACTTTCATGGAAAGATGGCAGCGATGTATAAACAACGGGGGGGGGGGGGGGCGGAGTAGCATGGGGTAGGAGTAAAGCGGCTTTTGCCAAAGGGCGTTTTACAGTGGCATCTTTGAACAGGAAAGCGCAAAACAAACATGCGTTCTGCACCTTAATCGTCAGTGTCCGGGGGATTTTCAATACATTTTAGACGCAGTCTAATGCAATTATTCAAGAATGTAGAAAAAGGTTACTACTCGCCCATCTTCAAATCGTGTAGAAGACAGGCGAATGTTTAGATGATTTCTGGTCGCTGGACTTCATACTCACAGGTCACACCACCCATCCAGCCAGCACCCAATTCTAACCCTGTTTGTGTCTGTATCTGACCATGTTTGTCAGTTTGTGACCAATCTCGGTCCGCGTGGTCGATCCTGTCCATCGAATAACAACGCACGTCGCCTCCCCACTCAGTTATTAATGAGCCGAGATTGTGTAACCAGGCGCACAGTGGCACGATCACAACATCAAATCATCACAGCAGCTGGTGATACTTTCCCTTCACACGAACACGACGCAATGTGGGTAAAACCGCTCAGGGATCAAATATTCAACGGTGGCGTTTTCGTAGATAGTGCGTTTGTGTGGCATGCACTGACGTAGGGTACTTAGAAATGTATAACGGCTCTCCAGGTGCTATTTACGTACATGACTGTGCAGCCCCGACCTCTGAGTGTTCTTTGTTGTAAGGAATATGACCCAGTTGTTTTATCGTTAACACCTCTTTGGTCCCAGTGTGCCCCGAGTGAAGCGACGGCCGGTCCCAAATCGACCGTACGCGTCGCGTGGGGGCCACGCCCGCAGTCAAATGGAGGTAAGACGCGAGCGTGGGGACACGCACTGTTCGGACAGATCTTTCTACTTCTGTCCTGCATAGGACATTGTCCAAAGGACATTGAAGTAGTGCGAAAAGTGATATCAGCACTTTTGAGGTACAGGGTTAAATATTTCACTAAAGTAAAACATCGTGTTCGGTGTGTTGATTTTTCCGGAAAACGACAAGGTAACAACTTCCCGTCAAAAAGGCGTCAAGCGACGGGCTATGTTGAATGATGCGTGCGCCGTGCAGTGCTATTAAAAATGAAGTGGTACCAGTAGCAAAAGTGCGTAACACGCGCGAGATTTGCTTTCCAGAAACCGGACGTGAGCAATAATGCATCCGGAACACTGAAACGTATTTGATACATTTTTGCAACGGTTCCTCTCTAGTCGGCTTTGATATGTGATATGAGAACATAATTCGACACTTCCGCTTTCCATCGAATGTGATTTTCAAAATCCTTTGGCAGCCAACTCTGTGTCATGTGGAATCCATGTAAGAACTGCTACCCTTTCAAACGGCGTGCTTGAAAGTCGAGTGGCAATTACTGTCATTGCGAAACAATTGAGTGTTGGAAGTTGGTAGCGGGAGTGTCATGGCTTATGACCATGAAAATTCAAAATTCTTAATGTTTTGACTTTCGGTTTATATTTGTGCCTACACGAAACTTGACGCTGTAAAACGGATCCTACCATGATTGTCATTTATCCTCGTGCACACCTATTATGAGCACACATACCTGAAAGCATACGCTCAACCCATTTGCAGGACTACAAAGTTATGTAAAATTGAATCAAGACAAGGCTGACCTCTGCTACCAATTACCATCCACTCTGGCGTCATAGGCTTGTTTATATATATGTAGTTGGGGAGAGTGGGGTAATTTGGCCGCTATTTTTAGAAAACGATGTAACTAAAAATCGACAACACATTTCTGCATTTTCTCAACGCTGACAGGTGTAGCATACATTTAAATTTCTTGGACAGTAAACTTGAAATGATAGAGTAACTACTTATATTGAAATTGTGACGTATTACAAAGGTCTGCAAAGCGGCCAAATTGCCCCACTAGCAGGGTTATTTGGCCGGGGGTGTGGGGCAATTTGGCCGGTGTTAGTTTGAGGCCATGATTTTTGTTATAGGCGAGTCAGCTTCACATTCAGCAATGACGCGTGTCCTACGACGCATTTGAAGCATTTTGGAGGTTGACTCAGCCGTCACAGGGGTCGAAAATAGTCAAAATAGCGGCCCTAGATGCGATGACAGTTTTTTACGAATAGCTTTTGAAGTAATCAAGCTAGGCCAAAACTAAAAGCACCATCGTAATTCTCTCGTCATTCCGCATCGAAACATGTATGTGTTGACCTCGAGAGGTCAAGGTCAAAGGTTGGCTTCAGGTCACGTTACCTCAGGTCGCTTGACCTCAAGGTTACGTGAGTTCAAGGTCATCATGTATATCATTCGATGCGCCTTGACGAGCTGATCACAATGATACCATTTGCGCGGCTGTATCTTTTTTCTGTAAGTATTTATTAGCAAAAAAGCGTTAGGTAACCTTTGATGACGTCACATGCCCTTACAGCTGTCCAATAGGAAATATGGCATCAAGGTAGTCAAAGTTGGTCATGAATTATGTCCTTTATGGTATAATTGACCATGACAACTCGGCCGTTCCAGCATAGTGACTCTGAGCGCACCGGCCAAGTTGCCCCGCTAGTCCCGGCCAAATAACCCCACATTGCCATTCTGAAAATTTTTGTCTATTAAGTCGTCATGGCTGTACAGAACTAGATGAAATTGCTCTTGGAACCGCTAAACACCCTCAAAAAATGGCGCTATAATGTTGGAATTCGTTTACAGCCCAAATACTACATGTTATACAAAGTTTTAAACGGAAGTAAAAGTTACCATTTTCTAACGAAATTCACCGTTTATTAATTTTGAATAAAACTAAGAGGGGGAAAGTTTTGACATTTGTTCTCGAGTTAGTTCTGCCGACGACAAATGAATAGAGACTAAAGTTATTTCATTCACTTTTATCAGCTTTCGTACAGGTGGGGGCGGCCAATTTACACCACCGGCCAAATTACCCCACTCTCCCCTATCTATGACTATATAATACAGTAATCTGTAACTGTACACAAAACCTCCAAAGAAACCATTATTTTTATAACCATGATTCATCTCTTTATTAACACCAGTTCACCACAGCGAAAAGGATCACAGCTCAGGCCAGGCTAACCCGCCCACGGCCCACGCGCCGACAAAACACCAAAGGTCAACACACGCGGCTGACCCCGGCACGGGACACTGACAAACTGACCCCCTCCCCCTCCCCCCTCCCGGCTGCCGGTCACGAAATATGACATCCGGCAGCAGGCTAGCGCGTGGTGCTAGGCAGAACATGGAAGAATATGAGTGATGAGTGGGGTTGCAATGTAAGAAAAATATGCGTGGATTGGATTATTGATTTAAACATTCATTGACAGGGTTAAATATAAAAAACAGTGCAATTCAATGATATTCAATACCTATGCAAGTATTATTGGAACGAAAAGACAAACAATTTTCACAAACACACGAGAAGCCGACACAATTTTCGATGCTTCATTTTTTGAGCTCCCACTACCAACTTTGTGTTCCAAATCCCTGTAACGATCACTGTTGTTATCCGTGCCAGAAAACTCCGTTACGTAACCACAGTGGTGTCACCAAAGTTGGGGTCCAAAATCACCAACAGGACCTAATCAAAGCACTGGTGGCAGCACGCTTCTGTTAGAAAGGCAGCCAAAGACAGCGTTTGGTGGGAGTTCTACAGCCTTGATATAGGCATGAGAGAGTCGCTACGCCAATAGATGGATAACAGAAAAGCAGTTGTTGCTATGTGAATGCGCGGATTATGATGTGTAATATAACACAGAACAATAGACGGCGCCAAAAACATTCAAGGCTCACTGATAAATGCATGTTTCAGCGGGCGGCAATCAAAGCTTGATTAGCATGCGTAAAGCATAATGCGATGGACAAACCATTTACGATTTCTTACGATGGTCTGCATTCCAATAAAATGTCGGTTTAACAGCAGCCCGAGGGTGGTAGGCCAAGGCATAGCAGCAGCGGATGGCAAGAGAATAATATCCCCCTATCGACTATCCTGATTCATACTATGGTGTCATTCTTCAATATGTCATGTAATTATGTCTAACATTTTGCTGGAAGTATTACTCACGCTAATATGCCGTAAGTTCGACTGATGATGCTTAGCATGGCGACAATGAAGATTATTATGACGAAAACTGGCCAATTCATTCAATTAATCTCCACAACGGCTTCGATCTTCTCTCACATTCTTTACAAACCGTACTCATATCGACGGCATCATCACCTTTCTATTACGAATAGGCTTCACATCCCCTTGTCCTCCCTCCCTCCCTCCCTCCCTCCCTCTCTCTCTCTCTCTCTCGCTTTCTCTCTCTCTCGCTCTACCTCCCACCCTCTCCTAATAGCGACGTCCAAACCCCTCCCATTCCCCAAAAGGCAGACAGGCAGCTACTTCGGCCCCATTTTGAACCACTTTGGCACACCCCTCTCGGTGGACCCACTTGCTGCAGCTGGACGTGCCACCCTGCTCCGGGCTCCAGCCGAGGATCCGGACCCGGAGGCGGATCCAGAGGCGGATCCGGACCCGGAGACAGAGCCGGAGTCCGCACAGGCTGTGCCCGTGCTCTCTGACGAGGGGTCCGATCTGTGAAAATAAAACGTAAAATTAGCGAGATGGTGACGAACAATGTAGACCAATGGCAAGCTACTGTAGTATTTCGTTCGTTCGTTCATTAGGGTTTACGGGCGCGTCGACTGCGGTGGTCATTTTGCGCCCATAACGCTGTACTGGTAAAGCGGATATGCCAACAGAGAACTGACGAACTGAAGAAGACTAGAACTACTTGAGATACGTTATACTAGTAAAACGAGTATATCACAGGAAAACTGATAGATTGAATGTAAGAAAAGATGCTGCCGGATAAATCCCAGGGTGAGTCATCACCCAACAGGTGGCGAATGGTGGTGCCTGGGGCAATGCGGCCGAGGCAGCGTGTCCGGTCTGGTTCGAGGTGCGGGCAACTTAAGAGAATGTGAGTGACTGTGAGCGGCAAGTTGGGTCTGTGGGCGTATTACTGTTGACTACGATAATACTAAACGTATGCTAGAGGCTCCAGTAATTGAAATGTGAAATCAAGCTTGCGATCAATAATATGCGTACGGGGACGTGAACGGCGCTGCCAGCGGAAAGACCAAGCGAAATGCGAAGGCGAACATTTCTAACATACGGTGTATGTAGACTGTGGTTCATGAAAAGGCAGCGTTATTCACGTATTTCAAATGTTGGTTGAATTTCTACATCCTTCACTAACGCAGTTTGCTCCATTCCGTTACCATGTGTACCGCGGAACAGCATACCAATCCAGGCGCTGACCACTAACGCCATCTATGGACGGGAATCTAAGCTAGTGTACCGCGGAACAGCATAGCAATCCAGGCGCTGACCACTAACGCCATCTATGGACATCATTATAAGCTGATGCATTGCGGAACAGCATACCAGTCCAGGCGTCAACCACTAACGCCATCTATGGGCAAGAATTTCACCTACTGTACCACAGAACTGCTTACCAATCCAGGCTTAACTACTAACGCCATCTATGGACGGGAATCTAAGCTGCTGTCCAGCGGAGCAGTACACACTTCCAGGCGTCATACCACTCACGCCATCTATGAGCAAAATTTAAAGTACACGGTCTCACGGCGCAGCATACCCTTCAGGCGCTTACCACTAACGCACAAAGCTTGCTACTAACGCGATCATTGAACGGAACTCGCAAACGTTTCCATGGGGCAGTAAACTTTCCAAAAGTCACGCCACAGCTCTGCCGTAATGCTTTTCGACCGCTGTAATTTTTACATTGACGAGGCATACGACCGTGAATTACAGACTTTTATAGCCGGCGATCAACAGGCGAACAAGCGTTGACAAGGCCCGGTGTCCTTGTGAGTCTTGTAGCGCCATGTAATCGCCTCGATAACACTCGTTTATAGGGTTTTGTAGCAGTTACGGATCATGACGACTGCATGCGGCTGGAATGTTAGCTTCTGCTTATCTATTTTTAACGTGAAAAATATCAGAAAAATAACGTGAAAAATAAAGATTGGATTTTTATCGTGACATTTTTAGCTAGTTTACATTCTGATGAAGAGCTGTGCTCGAAATTACAAATAAACAAGTATTTTGATTTAACCTTTTTTTAAACTACGAGGGTAAGGTCACTAATTAAAATGAAAAATATCAGTACGAGATGGCTCGAATAGCATAACCAGATAAAAGCAAATAGGCAACGACGTTCTGCAATGCATCGTGTTTTTATGTGATCTACCACGAATCTTCGGTACACTCAGCAGAATGCAGACTGAGCAAAGGACTCGTAAATAGGACTCGTACTACCGCCCCACCATTTTACATGCTCTACCGTACAAGACTGTGTCTCGTAGGTGTCTCTCGTCGGACTTCCATTGTTCGGCTTTACACAATATTCAAAGGTCACATATCATCCCAAACATCACCAAACCTCGACTTAACCCCCCCCCCCACCCCCTCCGCCCGTGGATGGCGTGCGCCACATATGCCGCAGTGCGACTATTCGGCGCCACAGCCGTCCCAGCTGCGGCTAACGAACCTCCCCTAATGCCATGATAAATATGCCGCCTAATGATAAACGTGGCGCTGAATACAAACTAGATGCAGCGTCAACACGGCGACATGCAGCCGGTCACCGGCGACTTTGAAGGAACTGGGGGGGGGGGGGGGGTTGCAGGGGGAGGGGTCCGGGGGTCGATGGAGGGGGGTCGTCGCCAGGTGGGCTGCAATTAATGAGAATAACTGTATTTAGGTAGGATTGGGTGGCACTAAGCCGGCCGCTGCGGCAAAATGGCCCGGCTGGCTCGTGATACAGTGATTGGTGTGTACTTTGTAACGGAGACGGTCCAGTTTCAGGAAAGTGAAATTAAACAGCGGTATGGTTTCTTGCAGGTAGTAAGCGAATATGAAAGCAATTATATGAAAGAGTGGGGCTTTTTGTGGTATAGAGTTAGCAGTAAAATACCAATGAAGTGGAATGTATGGCGGCTAATCGTACTTTGCTAGCAAATGTTAAAGCAATAAAATAAAACAGTAAAACGTTTTATGGAAACAAACCAGGGATCGAATTATCTGCAACGGGAATTTGATTTGGGAAAAGATAACCAAAGCCACCCTGTGCTGCATACTCATGCCTAGTTTTTGAAAGTCATGAAGACAACTCCTTTGTCCAGTGGGCTAGGTATATTCGACCACGGCCCAACCAATACAGATATTTATTCGAACCTGCCACAACTTCCCTCCACTCCACAGGGCCACATCCAGTTGGCACTCCAGCACCTACAGCTTTATCCTCTGTCTGTCTGTCTCTGTCTGTCTCCCCCTATCACCCACCTCACTCCTCGCAGAGCCAGTGCCGCCCCCGCCGGAGAGCTCAGACGAGACCGAACGGACGGAGACAGAGCGACTGTGGCGCCGCCAGCGGCAGCAGCGTGAACTAGAGCTGCCGGCACGCAGTCCACTTCGAACAGGCGCGCAGATGGCGCTAGTGGCGTCTTGGGCGGAGTCACGACTGGGAAAGGGGATAAGGGGGTTAATTGTTTGGTTCGTCCTGGATTTGGTTGTGAACAAGGCTAGATATAAGCTATAATGCATATTTGTAAGGGGCATTATGACCTCTTCACAAAAGTGCTCGCATTTCAGCAAAAGTACTATAGAAAACCAGTATCAGAATTAAGAACAATGCTGGCAGGGCAAATGACAACATACAGAACTTCCTTGAAACGTTGAAAGCATATCAAACTGTAGCAAAACGCTTATCCCAAGCGGTAATCCCACCCCGAAATCAGCCCAAAACACCCACACACGCCCACCCCAACAGTCACTCACAGAGTGTGAATTTGGCGGCGGGGTCCTCCAGAAACTGAGCGGTAAAGTCCATCACCACCTGTACCGTGTCTGTCGATAGAAACACGCCCTGGGAACGGGTGAGATGCGTCAGACACGGGTCTGGATTCAGGGCAGTGGTGACACTATATAGAATACAGACCCCTACCGGAGATTTTCAACAAGTGACGCAAAATCGGAATACGAAAAACAATATTATAAATTCTTATTTCTTATGTAACTACATTGGACTAAGTAAATAAGCAAATTTATACATTGCCAAGTTTACATGCGCCAACATCCGTCTAGCTATCCGCTAGCTGCCAACCTATTTAGCAAAAAATTTTGCCCATCATCCACTGACTGCGTCACAAACTAACCTTCAATACCAGCCGGTTCAGTGTCTCACTCTCAACCATCCCGTCTTATCTTTTCCCATCCTACCCCTTCCCGCACTATCCTTTCCCGTCCCCATCCTACCTCCCTCCAAACCCAACCTGTCCTGGCCCCTACCCTCCTATCATAATCTCTTGTCATCCTCATATCTCATCATATAATATCTCTTGTCTTGTCTTGTCCTATCATATCTGCATCCCACTCAAATTCCATCTCATTTGTCCCATCCTTCCCCGTCCTATTCTGTCCCCATCCTACCTTATCCGTCCCATCATCCTACCCAATCCTATCCAACAGTCACTAACCTGCAGTACGAGCCGGTCGGGAAACTGTACCCGCACCACGCAATGCCGGTGGGCCGAGAGCCTGGTCAGGAGGTCTGCCTGACGGCGAGCCTCCCTCTGACCGGCCGTGAGCAGGGGACTGTTATCCATCGCTGAACTGAGAGAGACAGAGACAGACAGGAGGTCAGATAGAGACAGACAGGCAGACAGTGTCAGTCAGACAGACAGATATACAGACAGACAGACAGACAGACAGACAGACAGACAGACAGACAGACAGACAGACAGACAGACAGACAGACAGACAGACAGACAGGGCTTCTCTCTGACCGCGATTTGAACAGGGGGCTGTTATCCATCGCTGAACTGAGAGAGAGACAGAGACAGAGAGGCGGTCAGATAGACAGACATAATATAGGGTAAACATAAGCTGTTAGCGAGTCACATCAACTCTTAAAATGACGTGTGTCGACACACTTCTGAGACATTATTTACCACGACAAAAGTTTGCAAATTGTAATGTATCCTATCTCTGCATCCGATCGAGTTTTCTTCTGTCACTGGTTTCTAAGTGAACAACTATTCGATCTTTCCGCCAAAGATCTCATCCCCCAGCCCCCTTTGCTAACTCACAGCTCCTCTCTGAGCTGGGCCAGCCGCCGGCGGGCATCGTTCACCGTGACGTCATAAAAGTCATCTGGCAGCTCTGGCTGAGCGCTGCCAGATGCCGCGTCGTCCAGAGAAAACGCCACCGCTTGCCGCTCCCCCAACTGGTGAAGGGATAATTCGTTAGGTTCAGTTCGAGGGGTTTGATGGTTACACAAACCAGTTAGCAATGCGCTAGCTTTGCATATCTTGGATAGGTACCGACGTAGATTGTGAGTGATTCGTAGCCATAAGCATCGTAAATAAACTGAATCATAGACACCGGCATATGGAGATAGGTCTATGACTGAACATCAACGAGTGAAAACGTTACAGTCTTTCCTATACACAACAAACATGTTACGTTCGATGCAAATATTCAAACAATACCCCTCCTTCCCTTAGAAACATTTCACCACTCCCCCCAACACTCTTCCTCTCCCCCCCCCACTCACAAACACGGTTCGTTCCTCCTCTTGCTCCTGAACCTCCATCTGCGAGCTGCCAGCACTGCTGCCCAGAGAGGCGCCCTCCATCAGAAACGCGTCCCCGCTGGTACTGGAGGTGGCGCGGCTGGCCTCTGCACTGGACGCGTCACGGGAGACTGAGACTGAGAGTGGTGCCGGTGGACTCGGGCAGTCACTGTGGGAAGGGGTACGGTCATATTGGTGCGATATTGGTGTCATATTTGCATTATATAGATGTCAAAATAGTGTCATAATGGTGTCACATTAGTGTCAGAGGTAATGCCATCTTTAGCCACACTGGTGTCAGCGGTGGTGTCATATTGATATCATATTACTTATTTGTGAAATATTATTATCATAATAATATTAACTTTGATACATATTGGTGTGAAGTTTGTGTTAAAATGGTGTCAGAGAATAGCATATTTAAAACAATTTTCCAAAAAACGCCATGTTAATTTTGTGTTTTAAATATGAGGCTGCTGTGCATAAATCACGTGCAAACTGCTCGCAGACAAAACAAACGGTGACAATTTTGCAAAACGTCGCCGTCGTCGCCGCAGCAGCCCTTGCAGCAGCCTTGGCAGCAGCATTCACTTGGTTATAGATGAAAACATGAGGTGAAAAATCGTAATAATCTTTAAAACCTTAGTATATTATCTAAAGTTTCTGAAATTGGAATTTCAACCCGATCAAAAAGACATCAGGACTTCCTGCTGAACGAAGAGAGCAAGTGTGAATTAATGCAAGGAGCCGAACAAACGACGCATGTTTATAAATATATTTTCTGTCTGCAGTCGGGCTATTATTTATGATCATGTGCTCTTTCCTCCTCCCCAAAAATTAACCCGGCCGGGCCCGGGGGGTAATCCCAACCACCGCAGCCCGGGGGGGGGGCGTTTTTCGCCCCCCCCCCCTGTCTAACTCCGTAAATAAGGGAGCTACGGAAACAAAAGCGATACCAAACGAAAGGTCCTTACGAGACGATTCTAATGCACCTAAAATTTTTGACCTCAGGTCAATTTTCAAGGTCAGAGGTCAAGGTCAAAGGCAAAAACCGCCACATGTGTAGTGATCTCAAAGTAAGCCTTCTAGAGGACGGCAGGCTGCATCAAACCGGCAAAATTGGCTGTCAAACGAAAGAAGAGAATCTGAGGATTCTGAAAATGTGCTCAAAGTGAAAGGTCAAGGTCAAGGTCACGCTCAAAATTGACCTCAAACTTGGCACTTTTTCGCATATCTTGCGTGCTAACTTCCAAGATGTTTTGAAATGTTTTGAGGCTTATCAGTTCCTTATTTATGGTTCATCTTACGATACAAGGCTGCTCAAAGGTCAAGGTCACAGAAGAGTATCCCTGCTAGAGGCTATTTCACTGATTCAAGTTAGTAATAATAAATAACACAATTTTGCACACCGGAAGCTCTAAATGAAGGTTTAGAGGAAAATAGATGCCAGATTCGTGATCAGCGGGTACAAATCCATCATAAACGACCTTTCATGTGTCAAGGTCAACCAGAGGTCATTCGAGGTCACATGAGGTCAACATAAAATTTGACCTTTTCCGAACAAAATATATATCATTCGACGCGGCTTGACAAGGCGAATGCGATGGTACCACTGCCGTAGCTCTAGGACCATTTTTGTCGAAGTTATTTGTGAAAAACTAAAACCACATTTCGGGGTCGTTGACCTGACCTCTGACCTCAGGTCACCAAAACTATTTTTCTATTTTTCTCTAGGTCAAACGCTACACAACCGTGCTCGTAATTTGTCTTTATCTCTAAAACTCTATTTTTAGCAGCTATTTGAAGTTTGCGTCTGTGACGCCGAAGTTTGCCGTGCAGGGGTCTAGAAAAATGGACCTTGTGACGTCATCAAGGGGGCTAGGTCCAAATTTTTTACTTCAGAAGATGTCAAATGGATGGGAGAAAAGGTACTGAAAGTTTCGCCTTCCTATCCCTAAGCGTTCGGGAGCTATCGCAAATATTCGCCAGGGGGGGGGGGGCGAAAAACGCCCCCCCCCGGGCCCGCGAGGGTTAAGTCCCAACTTTTTTCTTTACCTCACAAATAACCCTCTTCACACACAAAACTATACAGAAATGGGCAGTTTTGCACATTCGTGATAATAAATCACGACTTAAAATTGTTTTAAATACACTTAACATCACTTTTCCGTCGTACAAGAATATTCATGCACTCAACTTTGCAATTTAAGACCACTCGTGCTTAAAGGGACCCTCCCACCTTCAAAAAAGTTTATGAATTGGCATGAAAGTGATGTTGCTCGGTTCAGAAAGAGCGAAAACGAATATCTACCAAATTTCACCGAAAAATATTCACCAGTTTTCAAGATATTAGACTTTTACTTTTGTTTACTTTTTGGGATCTCCGCTGTTCCTAGCGACTTTATTTAACAGTGCGGCATTTGTTGCGCGCAACGCAGCATATACCACCGCGTGCTACAAAACGTTTTAGTCAAACATTTAACGGACGTTCGAAAGCCTGATGACGTCATCAGATTCCCGTAATGGTTAAGAGATAGGGACCACGCTGGTCCCACCCTGCACGTAAAGGGAAGAAATTTCTTGAACACCATAAAGCTGCGGGGGTTGCGACCAGGATAAATGGTGGTTTCTGAGCCTGGCCGCAAACTTGGCTATCTCAACTCAAAACTAATGTTAAGGTGGGAGGGTCCCTTTAAATGATTATTTAAGCACTTGTTCATAAATGAACTCCCTACGGTCGTTCATTTATGAACATGTGCTTAAATCATGTGGTCTTAAATCGCAAAGTCTCGTGCATAAATATTCTTATACTCCGGAAAAGTGACGTTAACATATATTTGTGTCAATTCGATGTCAGAGGGCGTCATAATGAAGAGCAATATCCTAGAGAATCGGAAAGGTGGTAAAAGATGGGCATGCCAGAGGCGGATACACCCAGCCCCCGTTCACGAGCTCCAGAATCCCTTTACCATGACGTCACCACGGTGGTAGAATCTCCCTTCACCCATAGGCATGCATGCAAATTTCATCATCTTTCGAGCGAGCTGGAGAAAAAAGCAAGGATTCTGTGTCATCAAACGTTGACCAACGTAACAATGAGTTCGCCTCATCACGATAAATGGGGCTGAAACTAAAAAATAGGACTATATCGAGTCAAAATCAGCAATTCAAATGACCCATTCATTTGAACGTGAAGGATTTCCTCTGATGACGTCACCACGGCGCCTTTATTTCCCCAGTGAACCAACCTGAGTAGTAAAGGAATCTTGGATACACCGTGTCAAAGACGAGTATTACAGGCCGCCAAGGCTGGCAGAGGGATAGGGGGCAACTCCATTTTAAAACAGCATCTTGAATTTTGAAATACTTGCTCTAAGGGACGGCTAGGCTTCAACCTCTGCAACAAATTTATAATTTCAAATGCCCGTTATACGAGCCACAGACAAGGGATGAACGCTCGTAAGTGCATTTCAGTTGTATCTAAAATATCTTTGGTCGCTCTCCAACTGATCAAATACTGAGAGTCGACCGATAACCCCCATCAGCGCAACCAGTGAAAGATGAGAGCAGTGCGGTCAGCCCATGGACCCTGCACAGAGCTGATAAGATACCTGGACGATAACACGATAGGAGCCAATGGGCGTCACTGCTCATCCACCGCCACGGGATACTGCCAGTGAGCGTTCAGCTTTACTGTGTGAAATACCTCAAAACGGGAAATTGTGCAGCCAAGCATTGAAAACAAGCGTCAAATACAAGTGTGCAAAAGGAAGTGCAAACACTATTCGCCATGTGGAACAATTTTAAAGATTATCAGCACGACTTTGAAGATCTTCAAATACAGAGACGGATCATTACTATAGTGGCCATCGTCCTCTTCAGCATGATGTCTGCACACCTTCTGTCCTGCCTCGTCAGCGAAGGTCGGATCTCTGTGATCACGTTCTACAGTCACCCTTTTCATCATGATTCTGTCCGACAGCATATACGTATACATTAAGAGTGCTAGGCGATTTGAACAGAATGTCGAAACTGAAGTGAGCGAGTCAGCGGCCAGGGAAGTCAGCTCGGTGCTCTTTGGGCTAGGTGTGATGGGTTATGTCGCTAGACTGTTTGGAGCAGTTATCGGAGATGATCTTACAGATAAGCCCGGCAGACGCTAGCATCGGAAGTGACGGCTCGGCCCCGGCGCCAGTCTGTGTGATTTCCGATTGATACACTGAAGAGACTGGTGTCTGGTCTGACAGTCACGTGACAATCCTGTGTCTCAGACATTTGTCAATCCCAGACGCTGCTCTGCCTCAGAAAAAGGTTTGACTGAGTCAAAAGTCTCGCTGACTGAGACATGGCTGAAATGACTGGCTTCACAATACAGGAGGACCATCGCAGATTTTCAAGTTGACTGGCATCAAACATTGAAAGTTAATCTAACGAAGCTTCCAATAAAATCAGCTAGATCAATTAGTTTCACAAAGTGAAGCCAGTCATTGAAAAACCAGACTCTCCCACGCCAGTCTTTCTCTTTCTACATCAGAAGTGTCTGTTGGAGCCGCTGATGTGGTGACCAGCTGGCGTGCACTGCCGTCACAATTTCTATCGACACAAAGTGACGCAATACCAAGTCGGTGACGTGCTATGTTGTGTTGTTGTGATATGTGATGCCGATGTTAAGAACAACGACAGTTACTGCCGTTTAGATCGGTTATGTTAGTTGAGCTCAATAAGTCATAATCACTGAATAAAATTCAGACGAGCTGCGTTTCTGACGAGCGTCCGATTCTGAGCTGTAGTGATAATCGCTGGCCTAGCATGTTCTATAAACACTCACAGACAATCCAGATAGGACAGAAGTTACAACTGATCACTGATAACCCACCTCGCCTCGTCGACAGTCATTGGCTGTTCAGTCGCCGCCGGCGCCGCTCCAGCAGCCAATACCGGCTCGCTGCTGGCCTGTGTGACGTCACACACCGCCGGCGGCGGCCGGGTGGTGACGTCATCGCGGCCGGGCGACACGGCCGTCTGTGATTGGCTGGCGGCGGCGGCGAGCGGCGCTGATTGGCTGTCCGGGGCCGCCGGTTTGACCAATGGCGCCGAGACATGTGCCTGACTGCCGGCCTCCTGATTGGCGGGCCGAGGGGCGTACCTAAAACAACAACAACGACAATCAACACAACAAACACTGTTACTCACTCAACCACTTCTGGAAGCCAATGCACCACTTCTCAATATAGGACATGAACGAACGTAGAGACAACCAGGATTAGTCGCACATGACGATGTGTCAGTAATATTTTGCAGGGTAAAATAAAGGAAAATAAGCAAACAGCCTGCTCTACATGATGAAAAAAATATCTGAGCTATCAACCACATTATCCTAACAGGACTGGTCACTACAGATCTGTAGTATCCTAACAGTGTATCTACTGTAGCCTCTATTGGGGCTATATAATAACCCTATCACACTAAATACTCTCACTCACTTACTGTGAGAGTAAGGGAAAAATCCCCACCCCGCTCAACCCAGAGGACAATCGCTCACCGTAGTATGGCCTTGCCGCCGGTCAGCCCCAGACTTCTGATGGTGGTGGCTTTGAGGGCGGCCGCCCCCGCTACCTCGCGACGCGCGTAGATACAGACAGGAACGGTGAGGTCGTCCGAGGGCAGTACAGAGTGGTCTGCGAGCACCTCGTACAGAGTGGCTGTGGGAAAGATCGGACAGGTCAGCAAGAGATGAACGCAGATCTGAAACCTCTTGGGAACAGTTGCAAAATAACTGTTTAACTAAATCGGAAAACCATTTTCATCATTAGCTAGACTACAGTAAATTATTTTGCACCAGCTCATAACGTAAACATACGTTTGATAGAATCTATGAGAAAATTGACACGGTAGTCTCATGATGGTTGTCCGGTGCAGCATAATCTCAGTGCAAGAAGCTTCTGATGCAAGTGGCCTTGGGCAAGGAACAGGGGTGGAATAGACTGTGTGCCATATCCCGTTGATAGACAACTGAACTTCGGTGATGGGAAAACAGGGTTGCATTCAATCTAGCTCAACCGACAACTTTGACCAAAACTTCAGTACTTATCCTAGTAAATGATCGGCAGCTTTCCCAAAACACCCGGCAGACCCATCTGTAGTTCTGAGCTCCCTCACCGGCACAGGGGAACTGTTTGACCAGCCTCTGTCCATCTGGCAACTGCAGGGCCAGCGTGACGTCACTGTCCACCCGGCTCTCCTCCGAGGCTGCCAGCTCCAGCTGCGCGCGGTTCGGCAGGCTGGCGAAACGCACCGAGCTGCTCAGGTCTAGGCGGCGGTTGTAGTGCCTGTTGGAGAAGGGGGAGGGAGGGAGGGGAGGGGTGTGATGGCTGCTTAAAATCTCACACTGGTGACTTCTGGCCATAGTCAGATGGTGTTTAACATAGACATGACTATTATGGACAAGACTCATTTCTCAAGTGCAAGAAAACTCATAACCAGCACACTTAATCTGCTAAACCTCTTTTTATTATGTATATCAATAAGTACATCATGCTATAAACCACTGTTAGTTAGTGCCAATCGAACAACTGTATTTGTCATAAGCACCTACCTTCTGTTTGCCAATATATTTGATTTATATTTGAAAATTACTTCCTGTCTGTCGGCATAAAAACTTACATCAGATTGAATGACTTGGCATCCAGCTTCTGCTTGCCGCATGCCTCCTCCAGGATCTGCAGAAGGCTGGTGTTCGGAGTGACCTTGACCACCTGGCGGCGGCCGCCGGGGCACAGCACAGTCACCGACATTGACATCACCTGAAACAAAATTCAAAAAAGGGTGCAAAAATGGGTAGTCATTAAGCGGGCGTCACACCTCCGCGTAAGCGGTCGGGGCCTCCGCCACCACCTCCGACTCGGAGGTCCGGTGGCGGGCTGTTGCCATGAGACGGCCGCCAGTCAATTAAGTCACAAACGTTCTATCGATGCAGAGTTGATGCAGGCTTTTCTATCGATGAGAGAACTTTGATTTGCGGAGCTGAGCATCACACATGAAAATGAATTTTGAGCACTGTGATGACTGATGAGACTGAGATCACAGGTTCAAATCCCACGAATGGCAATAAATAACTGTGCATTTTGCCAATTTTTAGATTCGTATTTAGATCAGGGGTCACTGTTATTTCCACCAGCGGAGGAGAGTAATTGTAGGAGAAATGATACACTAGTGCAAACTGTAAAGCACTGTGGTGCCCTGTCCTTGATTAAGAGATGATGTAACAGTACATTGCCATGGGCAATGGCACTTTGACTTGTGGGAGAGATTATTACAGGTAATAGTAGGTCAAATATTCAAATATTTTAGGTTAAGTGGTTGTGTATCTTGCTTCAGGCCTATGGCCTGAGGCCCTGAAGCCTGATGTATAACCACTTAACCTAAAATATTTGATTTACTAGGTACCTATTGCCTGCAATCTATTCCTGGGAGTAACTATTTACCAATCCCTGGAAGGCAAGACAGTAAGGTAAGATAGGTTAGGTTAGATAAGATTAGATGACACACTATGACACTACACAGTCTGAGTCATCACAGATGAGGGTCATTAAAGTCCCCTGTTAAAAATTAGCTCTGGATCTAATAACGAATGGCAAAAAGCAGCAAAATGCACGGTTGTTTGATATTTCTTACTGTCTGTGGGATTTGAACCAACAATCTCAGTTTTCTTGCAGAGCTCAAAACTAATAATCACGCAAGATCTTCATGCTCTGCATATCAATTTTCTTTCATTGATAGAAAATCCTGCAATGATAGTATCTTTGCTACCTACATAATCAATTTGCGGCCACCTAAGCACAGCCTGTCACCAGACCTCAACCTCTGCCCGTTTACAACCAAGTGTTGCGCCTGCTTAATGACTATCAGAAAATGATTGCGGTGACAATGAATATTTCCTGATAATATGCTAAGCAGTGGATGTCACTATTCTCAGCAGGCATGGCCCAAGCCAAAAATTTCATCCCAAAATATCCGACACAGCATGAGATCCAAGTCACAAGCATTTGGTAGGTTGAGGTAGTCCTTGCTCACGCCTCATAACTTACGTGGCTTACCCTGATATTGATATGTTTTTCAAGATGATTCTTTCAAAAGTCTTGATATTGATATTTGATATTCCTGTGACGGATATGTGCCGTACAATTTGCCGTTTTGAACTCGGTAACTAAGTGGGTAAAAGAATGTTGATGTCGGCGTGTCAGCAGCGCACGAATATCTACTTTGAGATAAATATGTTCCAAGGCCCTAAATACAATATGTTCTAACATCTGCTGACGGCATCTGTATTTCCGCTCAATCTGTCAATAGAGTGACAAAACGTGAATATTTTAGTCATAAATGTATATAATTGTGTGACATCGACCAAAATAATACCTTTAAACCAGTGGTCGGCAGGCCCTCCGGGGTCGTGCCCCCTTTTCGGGCGCCAGGCATGGCCATTACAGTTCTCTACTGTATTTAGGGCCTTGGTTCTCTATATACCGTGGCCATTACCCCCACCCTACCAGACACCATTGCATACACAACCGAGCTCACTGAAATGTCATACCTTTCCGTGACTCTTTGGGTATTTCGGGTATTATTATGTAAAAACGTCGGATCACGACAAAATTTTACCCTCGAGCCGATCATTTTTTTTTATCTGCCATAAAACATGTGTCATACATTGACAGAAATAACTGTTGACTTGTTAGGCAGTTGTTTCTTGAGATCATGGAAGGTCATAAAATTTCAATTCTAGAAGGTACAGCGGGTTCTGATCTACTCCACCATCCCAGTAAAAAATACCATTAGAAATTACCAAATGGTTCCAAATGGGAAAAACCATTTGACTTATTGAACACTTTTCCAAATGGTTCCAAAGAGGTTCCATTTGAAATGTGTCCAATTGGCCACCAATTGGTACCAATTGGAACCATTTCATGACCATTTGAAATGTATCCAATTGGTCACCAATTGGTACCAATTGGACACATTTCAAATGGTCATGAAATGGTTCCAATTGGTACCAATTGGTGGCCAATTGGACACATTTCAAATGGAACCTCTTTGGAACCATTTGGAAAAGTGTTCAATAAGTCAAATGGTTTTTCCCATTTGGAACCATTTGGAAATTTCTAATGGTATTTTTTACTGGGCAGCTGGATTACCATTTGAAGATCCTTTTGAAGTCCATGCATTTCATCCACAAAATAAAAAACTGCACCGTGAATTATTTTTATTGTTTTACTCTGCAAGCTTATACATTTTCATCAGTACGTACCTACCAACATTAGACATTAACTACACATCATGGACATTGTTGTTTGGTCAACACCACATCGATGAGGCGACTGCTATCAGAATCAAGAACAGAATTACAATGTAGTTATACACTGGGCCATACGTACGCTATTCCACATAGGCACAATGAACGACGTGATACAATATCATTCCGATCGGTGATACTGTCTGTTGTTCTTACAGATTTCTTAATCTTCCGTGGCGATCAGAATTTTCAGAAGTCAGAACGTAGCTATAATGCAGGCATGCAGCCCATCTGGACCCGTGTAGAACCGGTAGACGGCGTCTGTCTGGTGCAAGTTCGTGCCTGCAACAGTACAGGACAGCACGGGTTAATTGGGCGATGGGATCAAATTAATTACCACACAGGGTCATTTGTCAAATATCACAATATAATAACTTTAAGCTCATGCAACTTGCATTGTCATTTAGGCAGCCTGAACACAACAAATATGGCACTGACAATTTTCTGCTGGCAAAATAAATTGTGATCGCTAATTTTAAGCCTCTTTCTCACCTCTGTTAAACTCAGTAAGGTACTTACAAGGATGCCAAATGCAACCAAATTTATTCAAATAACTATTTTCAGTATTTGCAGTCGTAAAACGAATATCGCATACAGAGGCACAAGAAAAGTCACTCACCAGCCGCGTGATTCTGCTCAGCTTCCTCTTTTACAGCAGGACTGGGTCCCGGTCGACCGCGGGCAGTCCCAGGCCCAGCGAACGCGAAACGGTGGCGCGCCGGCCGGCCGGCCGACGTCGACGCCCGGTTTGAACTGTGGCGCCGGCGCGGCCGGCCGGGCGCCAAGCCGCCAACGGTCGGGCGCCAACGGTCGAGCGCCGCCAGCGTAGGCACACAGAGAAAAAGTAGTGCTGTTTAAATGAGCGGAAACGGCGGGGATTTTGCGAATCATTTTTATTTAATGAAAAACCAAGGCCTTGTAGTGATGCTTATCAAGTATAACCAGTCAAAGGTCTTCCCATTACCTCAAAGTCTATTATTTAAGCAAATGTTTAAAAACCATTAGAAACCATTAGGGTACCAATTGGGAACTAATAGATACCCAGTCCATACTCAAAACACACTTGAAACCATTAGAGACCATCAAGGTAGAAACACTTTTGAAGCATACTTGTCACACATCTGGAAACAGGGCTGCAAAGTGGTGGATTTATGACTCTAACTCCGACTCTGACTCAAAAATTGACTCCAGCTCCGACTACGGTTCGGACTTTGCTTTTATTCATCTCATGAAATAAAAGTTATTGCCATATAAGTATGTTTTTTCTTGCCTAAAACGACCCTTGAATGCTTTTCAAATGCATTTTTCATTTCGACACCAGTTGAAATAGAATGGGAACACCATTTCAAAACAGATTTGCTTTTCCATTTGGGAACCATTTCGACACCAATTGGGATCAAATGGGAAAACCATTGTCAATTTCATATCAAATAGGAATATATCTTCCAAATGGAAACCATTTCAATAACAATTGGGATTAATTAAGACACGCTTTATCAGATAAAATTATATTTCGAGACCACTTGGAGAATTTAGATCAAATATGAATATCTCCCGACTCCCAAATGGAAACCATTTCAAAACCAATTGGGATGAAATGGGACAAACCATTTGGGATGAAATGGTTTTCTTCCATTTGGAGACCAATTGGACACCAATTGGGATCAAATGGGAAAAACCATTTGAGATCAAATGGGAAAAACCATTTGAGATCAAATGGGAAAAACCATTAGATACCAATTGGGATCAAATGGGACACACCATTTGGGATGAAATGGTTTTATTCCATTTGGAACCAATTGGTATCAAATGGAAAGCACCATTTCAGACCAATTGGGAAGTTACCAATTGGAAACCATCTCGATACCGGGGACATACCATTTGGGATCAAATGGAAAGCACCATTTCAGACCAATTGGGAAATTACCAATTGGAAACCATTTCGATACCAATTGGGATCAAATGGGACACACCATTTGGGATGAAATGGTTTTATTCCATTTGGAACCAATTGGGATGAAATGGAAAACACCAATTGAAATCAAATGGGATTTATTTTCCAATAGGAAACCATTTCAAAACCAATAGGGATCAAATGGAAAACACCATTTCGGAGCAATTGGGAAATTACCAATTGGAAACCATTTCGATACCAATTGGGGACATACCATTTGGGATGAAATGGTTTTATTCCATTTGGAGACCAATTGGACACCAAGTGGGATCAAATGGGAAAAACCATTAGAGATCAAATGGGAATTTCTTCCATATGGAAACCATTTAGATACCAATTGGGACCAAATGGGACACACCATTTGGGATGAAATGGTTTTATTCCATTTGGAACCAATTGGAATCAAATGGAAAACACCATTTGAAATCAAATGGGATTTATTTTCCATTAGGAAACCATTTCAAAACCAATTGGGACCAAATGGAAAACACCATTTCAGACCAATTGGGAAAAAACCAATTGGAAACCATTTCAAATGGTCATGAAAACCATTAGAACCTATTTCAAACCATTTGACACATTTGAAACCAATTGGTAAATCCTAATGGTTTCAAATGGTATTTTTTACTGGGATTGTCATTGACCCTTTGAAAGTCTTAAGTCACCCAATGGCCAAGGAAGTTAACCGTCACCCGTATTGGTGTTTTGCCAGCCGCTAATTTATGGGGGGAGAAATTCGTTGGACCCCTCTTTGTCGTTCGGCCCCTGATCAAGCATGAGCTTCGCGGAAAAAACGAGCGTGTTGCCCGTGACGAGAGGAAGCTGATGATACGCGATTTTAAGGTCCTAGGTCATTGATTGACCTTCCAGGTCGGCTCAATGACCCAAAAAGTCGGAAAATCGAGACCTGTCAGAACTTCGTAAAGTGAGGATGTTGTGGAGTTTGTCGGAGTACTGATCACGAACTTTATCTAAGTTTTGATCACAGATGTCTTCGTGCATTTAGGCCAGGTCGGGTCAGGTCAGGTCAACCAATAGGCGTCCTGTCGGGTATTTATAGTAGGCATCAACAACCACTGACAGCTTCGTGACATGTTACGAAGGCACCAAAATTACTGGGTATATGAATGTTCAAATGGTTGCGAAATTCTAGCTACAATGTATAAAATTGATAAACCTGCACTGAAAATGTCATCGCGATCGGCCGCTTTTTGCGCGAGTTATTCGCGAAAACCCGAGGAAAGGCCCCTATAAGTGCGAAGGTTAAAATTGGGTAGCAGCGTCTTCCTATCGTCACGGGTAGCACGTTCATTTTTCTACCGCAAAGCTCCAGTTCAGATTTCAGAGGCCGAGAGGCTGGGGTCCGACTGGCCCCTCCCCGTTTCCCTTGTCCGGGGTTCAACCGGTAGTTTATTATTATCAATCCATTCCTTTCGATGCATTTAGTGCAGATAACAATAAATGAGCTAACTCGCAAATAGGTCAAAATAAACATAATTCGCCCGTATTGATAACGAACAATGTGACACTACCGATAGGTTAGGAGGATGTAGAACAGTTAGTCATGTTAGTAGCGAGTCCATGTTATTCGTTAATGATATGGAAGGAATCGGTAGTGTCATTGTTTTAAGACCCACCGTGCTTACATACATGCAGATCCTAAGCCATACGAGGTGAAAATAACCAGTCGTCAATCATTGTAACATACGGTAGGTAGGTGGCACTGTCCATAACGTGATAGGTGGCGCTAGCAGTAATACTGGGGCCGAGAGTGTCGAAGCAATGACAATATCGGACAATGCATTACCCAATGTCGCAACGGCAGCAACACTCCTCCCCCTTTTAGCGACTCAGCGCGGAGTCAAGGCCATCACCGTTCCGTGCTTCTATCCTCAGGATACTGAAATCCTTCTCCTCCACGCCGCAACCCCCCTCCGGGCTGGACAGGCAACTTTATCTCATGCGGGCTGCTCCCTT